ACCCGGCCTGATTTGAAGCGCCACCACCAATAGAGCTTTGTGTCTAGAGTCGATTTAACGACTTGTCTGTAATCAGTTTTTCATGCTTATTCTGAAAAAATTATGTTCAAAAGCTGAAAATAAGAGTAAAGCAGAAAATTTTGTTCATTTTCAAAAAAGATGTGATTTTTTAAGAAAAAAATATTCTCTGAGTATTTCGTATTTTTCGACTGGAAGGAAGTATTCACTAAGGCTAAAAAAGTATATATTCGTGATCAGCAGCTCAAGCTCGATCAGATGATTTTAAAAAAAGCCGGAAAAAAAGTTTTTACTTGAATTTCGCATTACAGGCACCTTACAAAATATATTATTTTTTGTAAAATATTTATTTTTATTGTTTGTTTTTGAAAATATGAAGTGAGTGTTGATTATTTTCTTTGTCGCCTCAACTTCATGAAATTATCGAATGTTCGTGTTAAACAGTTTTTGTTCTCTTTCCAAAAATAAACACTTCTTAGTTAGATTCTTACTAAGATTTGCATGATAGTGACTTGACTCTTGATAAATATCATGTTGTAATATACTATGAATATTTCGTTGCATTAGAATTTTTATCATCAAGGTTCTTTTGCAGAGCTTCGGGTGAGATGGAATGGGACTATCTGCAAAAATTTTGTCCCATGTGAAATGGGATGGAGTGGATAGTGTCCGTCCCATCTTATTCCATGGGACGTTTTTCGAAAGAGATGCCTCCCATGTAGCCATTGGTATGGGATTGTTCCATCCCATATGGTGCTCTGGTTCTTTGTACAAAGTAATAAGCTGTTTTATTATAACAATCTAGCAGAACAGCAGCTTGATCTAACCATTTAGAATAAATGAAAAATAGGAATGTATACTTGATTTTCTGAAATATAGTATTTAAAACAGTGGAAAAACAAAACGAGATTCTTAATTTTATTCATGTGTATGCTATCTATTCAAAGACTTTTTAGAACACTAATGGTCATAATATCTGTTCTTTACTTCAAATATAAGCAGTCTATTAAATGTAATTCATAGAAAAATCAATACACTGTATAGAAGCATATTAAAGTTACAGTACTAATCCAAATAATTTTTCGTTCCATGTTGCTAATGATGACACTACCTCACTTAAGTCACTTTATCGACATCAACACATAGATTTACTCAAAAGAATGTACTCTATAGATAACATGTAAACAGTAACTGAAAGATAAGAGTGAGAAAGACTATAGTATTTCACGAATTTTTGTAGTAAAATGAATATATCAGAAAGTAGATACTTTGCCTAAAAAGTTCATTGGGCACTCCTTAGTTGTTCAAGGACTGCGAACTAAGAATTCCTTCTCAATTTCATCGATGAATTTGTGAATATGAAAAACTATTGTAGTAAAAGCCTTACTTTGACTTTTACGAATGACGAAACAGTGAAGGAACTAATGGTCAATTCTCTTTTCCTCGAAGAATATCATAGCTTCGTAGAGAGTTTCTCCACAAATTAAAAATTTCTAGTTCTCAGTTTTTGGGTACTGCTAATTGAAGACAGATTCAGAAGCATAATTCGATGCTGATGGCAGAGAGTGCAGTAGAAATGTAGTTTACAGTTTGTACTACCACTAAATACAAATTTTAAAAGCTGCCAGAATTGTGCTTGGCCGTAACTACGCTCTTGGATAGTTTGAATGTCGTCTTATAATAAAAAGTTGACAAGAAATGCTGATCATTTCAGTATGGATTAAGTGAGATGATATTCAGTTTATGTCGTAGAATCAGACTATAGAATTACAATGGAAATCTAGGAAACCTGAAGCTATATTCTTGCATCTATTTTAGTTTTATTTAAGGTGAATTTCAAACAACGAAAGGTTCTCTACTGATGTAATGATCAAAACATAAGTATACAGGATTTTCCTTGCCAATAATGAAAACGTAAGATGTCGCTTGAACAAGTCCCACGTTTTCATTAATTAAACAACTTTCATATCAAAATTAGTCTATATCAGTAATACATTTTACATCTTGTAGTTATGAACTTTAGATGTCAAGTTTCATCCATATACGCATAGATGGATGGATTATACAAAACAATGTGACGATAAATTTGTGATTCATCTGTAGCTCTTCATCAAAACTGATTGGTTGGAAGTTTTCGATACATATATTCGTATACAGAAAATACCCGAATTTAATTGTAAATCTGAAAAATTTTCGTGTTTTTTTTTCTATTATCTTCAGATGGCATTAAATATTCTTGTTATTGTTGAATATGGTGCTCAAAAACAACGAATTTCTCTTAATTCAAATAGTTCATATAAGGATATATGTGATCAAATTTATTCACTTTTTAAACTTGATCCTAGTAAATCAAAATATATTCTTCAACAACAAGATTCTTTTAAACCTGGATTATTTATCAATGTTGATGAACGATCATTTACAAATGATTTAAAACAGTATGCAACAAAGAATATAAAAAATCCTCTGATACGACTTCGTCTTGCGCCAGCAAGTTCGAAAATTTTGGTGAATAAAAAAAAACACAATTAATCATTCTTTTCTAACAATTAATATTTCTTTTTACAAAAACTTTAGTCAAAAGCAACAAATGGAGTTGTTAATGGTGAAAAAGCATGGTCAACATCATCACAATGTCAACATGATGAAAGTGATCATGTTAGCTGTACTTCAGCAACAACAATTGATATTAAACAATTGATTAAAAAATGTTTAACGAATTTAAAAGGTGAGAATTGGATTAATCATTTAATTTCAAATCTCAATTTTATTGATACAGAACTTTTAAATAAAGTTTTGTGATTGCAAACTTATGAGATAACGTTTAGTTTTTCGTCTTCATCCATTTTGTACCAAATAGCTAGTTAAATATCATACAAAGAGTAATATAGATTAATTTTCTCAAGTTTGAGACTATAAGAAAAAAAGAATTCAAAAGAGATGTTATAAAAACTTTAAGCAAAAAATATGTTCGTTATCTTACTAGTTTTTACTTGATTGACATTATTGAATAATACGATTTAGTATGCTATTTCACGATCATTCAGCTATTAATCAATGTATACAGACTGAAAATATAGCAGAAATGTTTGCCAAATTTATCAATTCATCATATCTATGTAATAATCATGCAAAGAAAAAGGTACCATGCGTTCACAGTGCTATGATATTGCTAGATAGAATGAAAAATGATTTTTATGTGAGAAATAGTTCTAGTAAGAAAAAGAAATTTTGATAAAAGACTTACTGAAGACCAGAGTTCTAACCGGTTCGGAACAGTGGAACCGATCGGTTTTCACCGGTTGGAAAATACTTTATAGTTAAATCATTTTTCTCTGATAAAACTTATTGAAGGCAAGTTTGATTGTTCTTTTCAAAATAATCAAACAATGTTTTTTCAAAAACTGTCATTTTTATTTCTTTAATCGCAGTATATTTCATTTTTTTTAAAAAAGCAAAATCAAAATTGTATTACTTGAGCTAAACTTATATCGTGTATATTTTGGTAAAGGTCAAACTTTGGTTTCGATCATCGTTTAAAGAGAAACGTTAGGTTTCTCTGAGAAAGCTGAGTGAGAAAATTCAAAATTTGAAGTTTAATAATAAAATGATGGGTGAGTAAATGACTCTTTTTTCGCGTTATATATAGAAATATCGCATATTTATCTTTGAGAAACCTAACAGATATAAACAGCTATAGCATGATATTTCTTTCCGGAAATTTGTAGATAAAGCTAAATACAAAAAGGAAAATGAATGCTTTTTGAAGCCATTTCGATTAACAATGATCCAAAAAAACTAGCCTGTTATTGTCAGTTGTCGCTAGTCTAAAAGACTTTTCGAACTAGTCAAACCGGACCAACTGAAAATTTCTCGATCGGTTATAATTCTGTTGTAGAAATTAAGTGAAATACTACTTAGTTTGATTTTGCTACTTCTATGATTATAGACCACATATCAGAGTTGTCTATTTAATAAAAAAATTTTTTGAGTAATTTTCAATTCTTTCTATTGTTGATATCGTAAACTAAATAAAACGTCTTCAAAAAATTCAATATTAATCATTGTTTTTACTTATTAGAAACAACAGAAAATATTCAATTACTTGATCGTTATCTTCATCCAGTAAGATCAATTTCAGTTTTTCTGAGATTATGATTATTCTTCTATTTGTTTCTTAGGAAGATTATATTGATGAAGAATGTCAATCAGTAAATAAATCATCTACAAATACACAACAATCTTCATTACCAGTACATACTCCAATAAATCGTCAGATCTCACAAGCATCATCCATATCTGATTCTCGTATACCTTCATCAAATATTGTCGATGAACTTATTCCTGCTCTTAATCATTTGATAAATACACAACAACCATTATCATCATCATCATTACTTTCTATGAATAAGCCTGTTGAATCGCCACCAGTACTTCCACAAACAACAGCTAACTATCAAACGCAAACGCAAACATCAATAACTATTACAAATGTATCATCACGTTCGTCCAACAAATCTTTTAGTAATCGACTTGGTATGATGATACCACCGAATCAGGTTCAAAATTCAATTGTTCAAAAATCAAAGTCAACATCACCATCTCATCAAAATATACTACAAAAAACAAAATCACCAGTAATTGTCAAGCAGCAACCAATAACTCCATTTAATAATAATCAAAATCAAAATGAACAATCTTCGAACGAAATTATACCATCACCATTACCTAAATGTAAATGTTTTATTGACTTTTTTTCCTTAATTGATCTTTATATTTGTTTTTCCTTAATTTGACAAAAGGTAAAATTGAATTAAAACAATTTGAACCTGGTACTACTGTTGAAGGTATTGTTTCGGTTGCATCAAATGCTTCCTATTTCTTTTTACAACTTATTGATGAAAGAAAAGATGAATTTGATCATTTTTCAAAAAGTTTACAGTATGACAATTGAAGTTTTATTTTTTTTTCTTCACATTTCTATTATTATTCATAATCACTAGTGAATACTATTCAAATCTTGATAAAAATACTCATTATCGTCCATTACCCGGTGATTATTGTGTTGCTATGTATACAGATGATGCTCGATGGTATCGAGCTCGTATTATACGATATATTTCAGGTTTGTTCTCTAAATTAGTTTTTCTTTTCGATAAATTCTATATAAATATATAGATCAAACATGTGAAGTATTCTATATTGATTATGGTAATATGGAAGAATTGCCAATTGATTTATTACATGAAATTTTACCTGATTTTGTTCGAATATCTGCTCGTGCTATTGCATGTACTATTGCTGAAGTAAAGAAAAATGGTCTCAAATCTTTCCAAAAATACAATTTTGTTTGTTCGCTTTAATTAGATATTACCACCGAATGGGCAAGAAGGTTGGACAAAACGTGCTACATTTGCATTTGCTTCACGTTGTAGTAATGAACGTGTTCAAGCAACTATTGTTGAATCAACAAATATTAAATGGCCAATGCATATTGTTCAACTTCGTGTTTCAAAAACACAAGAGGTACAAATACAAAAAAACAAAAATATTTTCTAAGAGAATATCCGCTAACAAATAATGAATATCATTTAGTTAATTAAATTCTTTTAGTATTGTGTTTCTTCAAAAAAAAAATTTTTTTGAAAAGAGGAAATATCATAAACATCCTAGTCTATCCTCATTGCAAAGGAAGTTTTTCAACTGATTAATCGTTTTTGAATCGAAAGTATATGTTTCATGAAGATTCTAATGAGCTATAAATACACTGAAAAAATCAAGAGTACTAGGAAAACTCATTTTCGAATTTCGGCTTGAAAGTTTGCATAGGAACAGATCTTAACATGAATATTTTATTGTAACAATTTTAGTTCTTTTTATTTGCTCTTATTCTTAAATAAGAACGTCAAATCTGCTGGTGTAGATGAGTAGTGTAAAAGATAAGCTTTTTTCCATAATCGTGTATCTTAGGATAGGAACAACGAAAATATTTGAAACTTTCACAATAGACTATTCTGTTTCTATGAAAATTTGTAAGTTGAAATGAGAAAATAAGTTTTTTTCGAGTGATCCTGAAGGAAACTACAACATTAACTTAACAATACTATAAAAATACAATATATATCAGCAACAATAAGCTAAAAGCCCGAATTCTTCTCAGAGTATTCACAGCTTATTAGAGTCTACATGATCTACATACTCTCGACTCAAAGTTAGATCTTTGACAGTAATATACGAGTGTTTTTGTTTTTTAATTGATTTATAAATGAAAATATTTTTTTATAGGATATTGGAGCGTCACTTGAAAATTGTAAATTAGCTCGACATGTATCGAATAATGAAATATGTGAATTTTGGTCGAATAAAATTCGTCTCGAACAATACATCTTATACAATTTACAAGAACCAAATCCAAATCGATTTCCATTAATTGAACAAGGTACATCTTCTTATTTCCATTATATGACTACTAATCCAGTTAATTTTTCACCATCAACTATTATTAACATCTTCGATGAAAAATTCCATAGCAATATTGATAAAGTTAGCAAAGATTTGGCATTTGTACATCGAAATTGAATTCTATATATATACATATATCTATTCTTTTTTTTTTGTCTTATTACCCTATAAGTGCAACATTGTTTCAATCAAATCGTTTATTCTCTCTTTTTTTTTCTCCACATAGTATGTTGCTGATATACATTTTTTTTTTATTATTTTCTTCTTTTTTCCTCCTTATTGTCATATTATCTTTACATATCAGTAAACCATATGAAGGTTATCGTTACTGTTATTTTTTTGTGTGTTTGTTTGTTCATATATAGTTCATACGTGTATTGATTTGAGATTTAGTCTAGACAACAGAAAAAAAAAGACAGATGAAGCAAAAAATAAACGAGAATTTATGAAAATTCTATCAATTTTATGTAAGACAAAAAGTAAAGAAAAAGCTAAAAGAAAACAGATCAAAAACAACATCACAATCAATGTATTCATTCAATGGTGTTCAGATTAATATTCTATTTTGTTTGTTTTATTTTATTTTTAATAGAAAATTATTCAAAGATAATGTATTGTTTGCTTTTTCTTGTTGTAGTACCAGTAACAAATACAAAAGAAGAACATACAAATACATTTCTATCATCATCACTTCAACAAACTCCACCTACTGATGATTCAACGAAAGAAGAAACATCTACTATAGAAGAAATAAAGCCATTGAAAGAAGATACTGATCAAACAATATCAACTATTACTTCCAATGATGAACCTAATGAAATTGAACTAAATAAACAACCAATATCTGATGTTTCTGAAGAAAAGAAAGAAGAACAAAAAGAACTCAGTTGTAGTACTCCATCATCTGCTCTTAATCCAGATGCAACTCCTTTTGTTGCTTTATCAACCATTAATACCGACAGCAATAAATCATCGTCAACTGGAGATGAAAGTGATGACGAAATTGATTCGAATGACACACCCATTTCTACTGGTGAATGACAAATAATAAATATAATTTCATTTAAAATAATTTTTATATATTTGTATTTCTAAGATTCATCTGAACGTCCACGTATGCCTATCAAAGACGAAGTTATTGTTGATACAAGTTTGATGCCATCAACACCTCTTCTGAAATCTTGGTTACCAATAGAAGTAACTCATATTGAAACACCAACTCGTTTCTATATTCGTTATATCTATGGTCCTAGTTGGAATTTAGGCAATGGACAAACACGTAAGTAATCTATTTGATTTCGATGATAGATCATAATTTTCATTCGATTGCTTTTTTTTCTTCTTATAGCTGAATTAATTAATAAGAAGGAAGCACCAGAACGAAATGTTGTATTGAAAGAATTGACACAAGAAATGACGTATATTATTTTTCGCTTTGTTTTTTATTAATAAACGAATTTATTGATTTATTATTTTATCTGATTTCTTTAGGCAATGTTATAGTAAACATAAACGTATTTGTCCAGGTGATAGTTATGATGAAGGTGAATTAGTTGCTGTTAAATTACGTTCACAATGGCATCGTGGACGTTTTATACAATACAAACCAAACATTGATTTTGCACATGTATGTAAACATGTATATATTTTTTTTTCAAATGAATATTAATCGAACTTTTTTAGATATTTTTTGTTGATTATGGTTATACACGTGCAGTGCCTATTCAAATGATTCTACCAATTAATAATCGTTTTGTGGTAGAAACAAAAGATAATTTTTGTTTTATTTCTATATTATGTTTTATTTTTAGTTACATGCTGAACAAGCTCATTTAGTTCATTTACATCAACCTGGTCAACGTCGTGGTCGTATAGAATGGAATACAACTGTTATTGATGAATTTCGAGAAATGACTAAAGATGGTACAAATTTATATGCAAGAATTATGAATGAGCCAAATACAATTGAACTAATGTCCTATGATCCATTAACAAAAAAATGGTTTTCATTCTATGAACATTTTGTTAAACATTTAAATAATTGTGATATCATAGAACAAAAAGACTGAATAAAAATTATTCGTTTATTTGCTATTTTCTTGTTTCTTGTATGATACTAGTATTTCGATTGTTCGTTTTCTGTTTCTGTGATGCTACGTTTTTTTCTGTATATAGAACAACTTTGGTAGATTTATTGAGGATTATGTGAACTACAAACTTTTTTTTTTATCTCTATTGATTTTTGCTTACTAGAAAAATTGTATTTCCAAGTCGTCAAGAGATGTCTGAAAATCGACATATATTTCCCACAAATATATAACTGTTAGCATATGTAATCGAACTTTGATAATATATGAAAAATATCGATAGAAGAAATTTTCGAACATGACAAATCAAAAAGAAAAATTACAATATTAAGATTCTATTGTTGTATAACTTGAATATAATCTAGCAATAAGATTAGCTATTATAAGTACAGTGCAAAAAATTTAATACTTTTTTTTTATATGTAAAAAAGTTACAAATATCATTATCTGATAGAATATTGTCAGTCAGATTCATTAAAATATTTCTCTCTGCAAAAAATTTCATTGAACGTACAATCTAAATAGATATAAACAAAAAAACAACAACAAACTATTGTGGATAAAATTTGTTTTTCATGGGAACTGAAACGAATCTTAATTATAAGTGACAAAAGAAAAACCAGCTTGAAGAATTATGGAAAATCATCTTTCTTAAAGGTTTCCATTAAATTTAAAAAAAAACAATCTATTCATATCTATCTTTATTCATGCATGTATCAGACCAGTTCTTTTATGAATTTCTTTAAATTTAGAACATGAGAAGCAATTCAGTTTCATGTGTCATTATATATAAACAATGGTTTTAAATCATCCAAAATATATTCAGTACTTTTAAAATGTCTACATCAGCTAGGGTAAATCCATCGGTATCCAACCAGTTTTTAGGAAAAAGTTTTTTTATGGAATTTTTTATACTGTTTAGACGTATAGTGGGTAGAAAATNATCACTAAAATTTTCTAAAAGCAAAATATTTATGAAATGAAATGTTTATTTTATGACAGAAAACTGACAATATTCATGTGAACTCTTTATGATTTTTATATGATCAGTAATTTTTCTTTTCAAATATCATATTCGAAAGAGTGTCACGTGCTGAATAAGATAGCAGATTATTTTAATTTTTATGAAAAACGGTGTTGGGTTTCGAGAGGTAATTTTGTGTGAAAATTGCAGCATATGACACTCTTTCGAATATGATATTTGAAAAGAAAAATTACTGATCATATAAAAATCATAAAGAGTTCACATGAATATTGTCAGTTTTCTGTCATAAAATAAACATTTCATTTCATAAATATTTTGCTTTTAGAAAATTTTAGTGATCAAAATGTAGCCCGTATTCTCCTCTTTTCATTAGTATGGATTCAGTTCTTTTCAAACATTTATGGAAAAAAATAACTCAAGATAAAGTATCGTCCAACAGAAAGTGACTACTGCTCACTGTTATATATTCAGTTCCATGATCGTTGAATATTTAGAGGTGAAATTTTCTGTGGATGTAGTATAGATGATGCTTAAAACTTTGACGTAAGCCACGTCTCAAAAGCCAATCTAATTAGATAGTTATACTCAAGATAAAATCGTCCAAAAAATATTGTTCACTATTATATATATACAGCATGATCACATTATTTTGGACAGTTTTGCTCACCTTCCTGTATTTCTACAAAACTTCGGAAAATTTGGTGTCTCGATATGGTTGGATAGAGCATTAATTACTCTATCAAACTATACAGTTTCCATTTTACTTCTTTTGCATCTTGTCTAAAAATTTGATAAATTTTAAAAGGTAGTTGAATAAAGATTTTTGCACGTAGTACTTTTGAGAGCATTTCTTGGTTCATATCTTCAGTAACTGCTAACTACGTCAGTACTGAAACTTTTTGTTTTTATATAAATCAATAGAGTATTTTTCTCTCTATCACGCTGTATATTTTTTATTCGACTTATTCTTTATCTTGATAATAAACTTGATGATTTTCTGAGATATTTTCTTGGTGAACTTTTTTCATACAACTCTTTCTATTTTTTCTCGAAGAAATTTTAGTTGTCTAAGCTTCTAAATTTTTTACTCATTAACATAAGTCTTAATAGAGCGTTGATTTCTCTTTTGAATCATGTAATTTGAGTGTGATTTCGCTGAGAGCTTCTACACAAAATCTGCATTGATTCATTGCTGCGATGAAAAGGACTATGTAACTCAAAATTAAAATCAAGCACTCTCCTCGAATACAGAACGATTCAATTTAGTACTGTATAAAAATACAAGTTCCAGGAATCTCTTCAATCTAAAACTACTTTCGTGACAATCAGCTCTATTTTCACTAAGATATTCCTCTTCCAGCTAAATACCACCGTACAAAAAAAAATTTTTGAGAGCTTTTAAAACTTTACTGAATACTCAGTGAGAATGAAGGAAAAATTAAATAAAAAATACAGAATTCGATAGAGAAATGAATGCTCTATCTAACGGTATAAAAATTAATAACTTTTCAAGTTTAACAAAAATATGATAAACCGAAGAAAACTGTCAAAAATAACGTGATCATGCTGTATATGTTAAGAATAATTATATGAATTAAAACTTACAAACTAGAGATGTCTGAATAAGGCGATCGAAAATTGAGCATCATTTGTGTTTCACGTTTATAACTCATATGTGCATCAAGTACTATTTGTGAAAGAGCAATTGTAGCCTAAATGAAATATAAAAGATAAGTGTTATTTGAATTTCATTGTAGAGAATAAAATTAATTGTTTCTTTTTCTAACATAGAAAAATCATAGTGAAGATGATATAGAGATGTATTCAAGTTTTTGTTATTTCCTTTTTTTTTTTTTTTCTATATCTAATTTTGACTTACATAACCGAGTAAGATAAGTTTTTTGCCAGCATTTGGTACATCACAATCAAGTGGCGGTTTACACCATAAACAAACATTAAGAAATTTATCATTGGGACCAACTTGAAACTTGAATTTATGATCGAATTCGATGTACTGTATTAAAGAAAAACAAGAAGAAAAAAAATGTTTTTGTTTTTTTATAAATTCGTATAAAAACGAACGGTTTCCGCTTTTTTAGGAGGAGTCGGTTGAGCTTGAAATTCTTGTAAAATATCTGCATTCATCATAATTAAAATGATCTCATTTACAGCATTTTTCTATATCAAAAGAAAAAAAGAAAAACTTTCAAAAGATAAATTTCTAATCAATTTTTATTTACTAATTGTTTCGTTTTTTTCGTTATATTTGTATTTGATGGTTTGATAGAAGTATCTTCCGTATTAGTATTTTGTATTTGTTCATCATCACCGTCTAATGATTTATTTTCTAAACCAATTGAATCGACATTTTTTTCAAACTTTACTAAAGAAAGAGAATACAAGAAAAAATTAATCATGAATAAAACATTTAGAAAAAGCATCATACTTGTTGGTTCAACAGTTCTTTTTCGTACATTGGTTGGTGTTGAAAATTTATCACTACGTATTGACAATGATGGTGAATGTCCACCCTGAGAGAAAATCAAATTCGAATAAAATAAAATCTTTCAATTTTTTTTCTTTACTTGTTTTTCTGTTTCTGTTGTATTCAATGGTTCGACTCTATAATGTACTCGAACACTATGTAATAAAGGCATACCAACAATAAGTTTTATTTTATCTTCATTTACATTTAATGCTGTTGTTGTTGTTGTTGTTGTTGTTGCTGATGATGATGTTGTTCCATCATTAGGTAAAACAGATGGTTTATATTTTAGCAAACGATGCATTTGTTTAAGTGTTTTAACATCTTGTCCTTGCATTTGAAGTAAAAATATATTTTTATCTTCTAATGCTGTTTTAAATGCTTCTATATTTTCAATTCCATTTGGCATTGGATCAATTTGTTCAATTAATAATTCAGTTCGATTCATATAAGTAACTTCTTTAACAATTATCTTATGTGTATTACGTATGAGTTCAATTTCTTTCGTTGGCCATTGCCGACGTTCTATATGTAAATAATCAGCACACATTTGTTCATTGATATTTACTGTTAAAAATACTGATACTGATGAAACTTTTTGTTTATCAAATATTTTTAATGGAATTGAAAGACGATCACAATGTGTAATTAATACATTAAATGTGCCAGGTATAAGATTATTTCCATTAGTAGATAAAATTTCAATTGGTAATGATTGTTGTGATGATGAAAAAAATGGTGTATAACGAATTTTATAACTTGGCCATGTTTGTTTACGTTTTAAAGCACGAGTTAATTGTTGAGTAATAATTTGTGCTACTTGTGCACTTTCACCAGCAGCAAAATAAGATTTAACTTCAAAATCAATTAATGGTTCATTTTGAAAAACTAATAACCAATGACAAAATGGTTCACGTCGAAATTCTAAACGTAAACGTCCTTGAATACGTTTAACTTTAATAAGTACTTGACATTTAGGACCAAATGATAATGTTACATCAAGTGTAACAGAAAATCCATCTTGATAATCAGCATCAATATTAGCCACAAATTCCTAAAGAAAAAAAAAAAACTTTAATTACATTTATCGAAAGTTGGATATATAATACTATGAAAATTGATACTATTGAATATAAAAAGAAAACAAAAAGAAGAAATTTTCATAAATGAATGAAGCTTTTATAATCCACATAAAAATTTATGTATCAAATAACATATCATTTTCTGTTTAGAATTATGAAACGGATTTAAAGATTTCTTACTTTAATCAAATTACGTTCATCACGTTCTTGTCGTTCAAGTTGAATATCGCTTAATACTGGACATTTTTTTCCAATTGAAAAATTTTGTATCTAAAAACAAAAACAAATTTAATATTAAAATTTTCAAAAAATCTATTTAATTAAATACATACAGAAATATTGTGAAGAAATATTCTTGCTGTTCGATTATTTTTTAATTCGTTAAATTCTGTATTTAATTTATGCATTAAATAACGTCTTAATCCTGAACTATCTTTTAGTTCTTGAAATAAAAATTGAAGTAAATAATTAACAGCATCAACAGCTGAATTTTTAGCTTGTTCTCCCTATAATAATAATAAAATACAGATATGAACTATGTTCAGATCTTTTAACTTACCTCAGGTAATGGATGAAATGTTTGATACTGTTCTTCCTCTTGTTCATTGAATGTTACTGGTGAGGAAAATGCATAGTATGTATATAAATATAGCAGTAAAGCAATTGTCGATACACAACCCAAAATATAGCTGACGAGTATTATTAATAACAACATTATTTCAAATGTAATCGAATCGACTTCTATCTCATCTTGAAAGAACAGAAAAAAAAACAATACTTTTTTTTTATCGATTTTTCCCTTATTTTTTCAGTTCTTGTTGTTCGTTTGCTTGTATTCAAAATTCTTTGTTTACACACACACACACACGCACACACACACTTCGAAAGCGTCATACAAAACTATACAAACACGTGAGTGAGACAGAGAGAAGGAAAAAAACCAACGCAAAAAAAAGTCCACTTAAAAGCGCACACAATCGATCATCATCTATCTTCAAGGTAATTATCCTTTTCAACTCTAAACTACTCCGTATACACGCCCAGCAGCGCTCATTTTTTTTTTTTTAATATATAATAAACGGAAGAATCTTGCATCGATCAATTTAATATTTTTTTAATATCCCTTATTTAGTTTTTCTTAGAATATATGTATATATCCGAATGAAAAACGTGTTACATCAGTAATAATCCCTATTTACAATGAAATACAAAAAAAAAAGAAAAGAAAACGAAAGAGTGCTAAGAATCATCGCTATGTTCCTCATCTTCTCACATATTCTAGCGCAATAGATATGAACGCGCAAGAAAAAAAAAACGCAGAAAAAAAAAAGAAAAGAAAAACTGTTGTCTATCGTGAGAAATGAAGATCACTGCGAGCATATAACGCAATAGAGAAAGAGAAAAGAAAACCAACAGTTTGACAATAAATTAAAAGAAGAAAAACAAAAACAAAAAAAAAAAACAAAATACAGTCGGCCAACACAAGCATTTAGCAATAATATAGGATTGTGTATGCTTCTCTATTTCTCTCTCTCTCACTCTCTCTCTCTCTCTCTGGACTCACACGAAACAGGAGGAAAAAAAATGAACGAAATGTGTATGTATATAAATACGAACGATCAAGTCAAACTAGGGTTTTGAATGAGCAAAGAAGCATCGTCAACATTCGATGATAAATGATGATGATGATTAAAACTAGGTGGAACATAACCAAAGAATTGTGGAAATGATGCTGTCGCGGACGGTGATGTATGAATTCGCTGAGAAGGATAATAGCTGTTCGTTGAATTATTTGCTGTTTGAAATTGTGTTGGTACACTAAGATCAATTGATGCTAAATTAGTATCAATATTTGGAAAATGACGATTTATATTTGTTGGATCATCAATAAATGTTGTATTATTTGTTTGATTTACGTTGGGATAATTAGTTAAATAAGATGATGATGATGTTGGAATACCAATTTGATTAACATTTGTTAATTGTGTTATAGATGAATTTGATGATTGTTGTTGAACTGATGAAGCTAAACCTGGAAATGGTCTTTGAATACCTGGCATAAATATTTGTTGTTGCGATGTTGAATCATTTGGTTGCCAAAGATTAGGTGGTGGATACTGCTGATTTGCACGTGATGGTTGATTTGTTGATGGAACTGTTTCAATTATATGACGATACGAATCTTGACGATAACGAAGAGCTAAAAGAAAAAAGAAAAAAAAACCAAATAAAATAAAACGTACAAAAATTATTTTTAATACCAGAAAATAAACAGGATATAATGATGAAAAATAAAAGAGGCAAATTAATTACTCACCTTGCCTCAAAAAAAAAAAAAAAAAGACAAATACCGAATTAATTTAGGACAATCAAGCATTATAGACTCATTAGCTAGCGAAGAAAAAAATGTTTCGTTCAATTGATTGAGAAAAAATAATATATATGTTATGCAAAGCAACGTGCATAGATTTTTCTCTATTTTTTTTTTTTATTTCTACATAAAAAAAAACGTACAAGAGAAAAAACACGAAGAACTCGACTTATTTCCGGCCATTTATATTTAAATGGTTAGTAGTATTTATCACTTTTCGTGCTTCTGGCTTTACTTGATGTAAATTAATATGCTCTATAAACAAAATACAAATATTCCTAAATAGTTTATAATGTTACTCATTATCTCAAATCTGAAGAAATTAATATGATTTGTTATTTTTTTTGTTTCGTTCATCTTAGTTTTCTTATTTAACTTACTCGGATCAAGATTAGGTGAACCATTCGAATTGAGATTCGATGATAAAGGAATATTTGTATGATTTGTAATAAGAGAACTATTTGGTTGTAATAAACTATTGACATTATTTGTTCCATTATTATTTGTATTTGTTAATAAAACATTTGTTGATGCTACTGATGAAGATGATGGATGAGTCATAGTTGATGTTTCATCATATGTTCTTTTAAAAAAACTAGCTTGTAATGCATTAAATGGTAATATACGTCGTTTAGGATCATATTCAAGCATTTGTTGAACAAGTTCTTTAAATTTAATATAATCTGATACGGAATGATTAGGTTCGCCAGAACGACGACCGCCAGGACCACCAACTTCAACACCAAGTATATCATGTAATTTACGTGTTCCTGGTGCTCGATACTATTTAGATAAATAAATATGTATATATATATATAATAAAGAATAAAATATCAGTTGTGTTGTTTCTTACCCTTCTTTCTTTACTTTTTCGCGGTATCCACGTATTATCTGGTAAACGATCAAAAAATCGTTTAGTTTTTGTTCCTTGTTCAAGAATATGAGTCGGTGGCATACCAAGTACTTCAACAATTTTCATCATTTGATCATACTAAATAGATATTTGTTTTTATTTTCTCGATATTAGTTAAATAACTTACTTCATTTGTACCACTAAATAATGGTTCACCTGTATGCATTTCAACAAGAATACAACCAAGACTCCACATATCAATTGCCATATCATATGGAATACCAAGTAATACTTCTGGTGAACGATAAAATCGACTTTGAATATATTGATAAAGCTATAAAAGAATACGTTTATATAATTTTATATTTCAAAAATCAAATTTCTAAAACAAAAAAAAAAAACATACACGTTGACCAATTTGACATGAACTACCAAAATCAACAATTTTAATAGCTGATCGTTTTGGATTAACCAAAAGAATATTTTCAGGTTTCAGATCTAATTATTAAAAATAATTCATATATATATAATGTATTTTTAAATAACTTACCGCAATGAAGTACATTAAGCTCAGGTTGAGATAGAAAAAGTAATGCCGATAATAATTGTAATGCAAATTTACGTGTTAAATTCAATGATACACCACGAAAATTTGTATTACGTAATAAATCATATAAATTATATGATAATAATTCAAATACAAGACATAAATGATTTCGAAATGTAAAATGTCGTTTTAATTTAACTTTAAAAAAAAAAATTAATTCTACTCTAAATATAATAAAAATCTCATACATACCAATATAACCATTATTATCAATATCATGTTGATTCATTAATTCAAGAAGTCGTACTTCAATTTGTGCTTGTGAAAGAAATGGTCGTTTATTTTTAATTATCTTTATAGCAACATATTCACCATCAATATGATCAAATGCTTTAACGACCTAGAAATATATATATTTATGTTTTTAAATTTCATTTTTTATTTTCTATTTTACTTGTCCAAAACTTCCTTTTCCAATAAGACAATCAATAGTATATCTTTCAAGCCATATTTCACCTGGTCGTACGATATAATCATGATTTTCATCATCAAAACCATCATTTAAATTTCGTTTTTCTTTTTTATATAAACCATTATTATCTTCAATTACTTGATTATTACTACGTTTTTTCTTTTTTGCATAATAAACCTAAATATGAAAAATTATTTATCAATAAAAAAAATCTCAAATAAACAAAAAAAAAAAAACTACTAAAGCAAAAAAAAAAGTATATTTAATTAATACTTCGTAATTCGTTTGTAATTCAGGTGATATTCGACCTGTAGCTGGTGGCACAACATCATATAAATAACTAGTTGAACTACCATACGCTGAACTTCCATCGGTAAGACTACTTGCATTTGATGAAAGATGATGCTGACGATTTGTATTGTTACAATAAAATTGTTCATAAGCAAATGGTGCTGTCCATTCAGTATTATAAGGAGGTGCTTGTACGTATTGCATCGTTATGCTTTTTTTTTATTTTATGCCTTACAAACTCGTAAATAAAGTATAAAAAAGAGAAGAAGACGAAAGGTAGGAAAATCTACACCAAAAAAAGCCCTCATTAAAACAGCCAGACCATATCGCGACAAAAAGTATCAACAACAAGCCTCGAACATCAAGGTCAATTATTATAATTTAAAGGATATCGTACACATATATATATATATATAAGATATATATGATATATCTTATATATATATATGTGTGTGTACTAGAAACGAATAAGGCTTTAAGAATAAAATATATGCATCAGCTGATGTTCTCTTCTTATAGATTAATACACATCAATGATGCTCACGGTCATTGAATTGCATCACATATGCTCAGTCATATCTTTTCTTAATGTATATTTAGATGACCCGAAAGACGACGCATTCGACCATCACACGATCAAATGTTCGATGTTATATACATAAAGAATGAGAGAGAAAAAAGAAAGAAAGCGTACGCATAGAGAGATATCATCGTTATAATCATTTTTGTTTTGGCCTCTATTTTTTTTTTTTTTTTTCATTTTTTTACGCATCACGAATACGTTTACTTCTACATCATCATCATCATCATCGTCATGCAGAACGAAAAAAAGGGAGGAAAAGTATATATACATATACATAGAATATCGAATATTTATATAACATGTAATTTATGTATATGTATATAGATGATTGAATAAGAAAAAAAGATTTTACCTCATTGATATGTTTGTATGTTTTGATGAGATCAACACTCAATTTACGAAGAGGCGCCTCGACTGGATCGCGATAAGCGTTCATTGCTGGCATCATCATGTATATTATAGATATATTGATAATATTCCATAATTATAATAGCATTTCATTTTCATTTAACATAACATATTCTATTTGAAAAAAAAAGAAAAAAAAATTATATATATATAGATTTTTTTTATTATCGAAAATATAAAATTTTACATACCAAAAAAATACAGATTTAAATCGTTAGTACTGCTTGTTAAATACAATAGTTGAAGGAGAAAATTTTTGTAAGTAAAACAAGAAAACAAAAAGAAGCAGGACAATATTGAGGAATTGGATGAAAATGATAAATAAAAATTGGTCAGCAACGACACAGATAAAAGAACGTCAAATCGATTGTGAATATATTTATATGTATATGACAATGTGGATTATTATAAGTGTAGCTGATATGATCAATCGTGTGACGATCTAAACAAAAATGAATATATGTTATATACGTGTATATTAAAAGCTTATTAATGTTTGACTCATTCATAGTTGTTTATCCCTGACTCACGAGATCTTGAGCCGAAAGAGAGAAAAAAAGAAGAAGGAAAGAAATGATGGTAGCAGCAATAAACAAAGAACTTCATTTTGACTGGATCATGCGTTCTTCTAATGATCGCCATTCAACCGGATCATTTAATAGCCTCATTGATGGTATATATAAAACAGTTAAAAGAATATTTACTGAATTTTTTTTAAAGTATTATTATATATACTCATTATAACTTAATATTTATAATCCTTCATATAATCAAACTGATGACATTTAAAATTTAGTTATATAAAGTAAATATATAATGACAGTTGAGTGGTGACATCTTCAGGAATGATATCATGAAAGGATTATTTTATTCAATTTTGAATCGTAACTTGTTGAAACTAACAAGAGTATTCTTATTCTATTTTCTTCAGCATAAACATATGGTGATACTTAGTTATAATGTAATACATATCATTCAGTATGTATAGGTGAGAATAAGTGTGTACATAAAGTAAGAATGCATTTTTTTGAAATAAACAATATACTTCTTTTATCAAAATTTTTTCTATTCTAACCATTTTGTATACTTAAGAAAGCAATTTCGTTGATAGGATTTGGTAGTGAAGTAATCAGTTGCAAAAATATGAATGCAGTCAACTATGTACTATTTTATTGTTTAGAAAAATTCCATTGTAACTTATTCTATATTCTCAACTCGTTAGATTTGAATTTTTGTTTTTGAATGGTTTTGATTAGGAAAAAAAAAAGAACAGAATATTATGATAGTAAACTAGGCGAACGTTTTAAACTCATATAATTAAGCGTTTTATCTTTGTTCGATAAAATCTAATAAATAAGAGACAATGAAACGAATACTTTTTAAGAAAAATATGAAAAGCATTTCCATGAAAAATAGTGAAATGGATTTCGTACATGTATAGACTGTTATTTTAAATATAGGACAACAGAAATATTTCTATTTCATTGAAATTTCTTCACGTAAAATAATGTTTGCGTGTACCAATGGAATAATATCTTCGAAACTCAAAATTATTTGTATATCACAGTAGTTATTTATGTTATTTTGACGAAGAATATAAAAAAACAGTTCAAAATAAAATATAAGTACTTCGTGATATAGACAATAAACAAAATGAGTATAATCTGACAAACAATGAAAGAATAGATATGTGTGTAATACAATATCGTATGAAAAAAGAAACAAAAAAAAAAAAAGTAAATCTTTTGTGACGTATTCACACAAGAGGATACTATTTTTTGGGCAGATATATTAAACGAAAGTAAATAATAAAGAAAAATGTTTTCACTAAGATTAATGATCTTTGGAATTTTCATTCAATAATGAAATTGAAGTGGATGATGATAATGATGATGATGATGATGTTGAATTAAAAGTAGAATTCGTTTTTTTTATTTGAGTAATTGATGATAACTATTTAAAAAGAATTAAACATATGTACATAACTAAATGAATGTTTCAACCAACACAATATTAAGTCGATTAGAGCATTACTATTTATAATGTTCACAGAAAAGAGGCTACTGTTAGAAGAAAATTACGAAAGAATGTCGCAAAATGATAAATTGCTTCTGATATAAGTCTTAATTCATTAGATAGGCTCTAGTGAGACTAGAGAATGTTGAAGTCGTTTTAGTGAAGTTTTTCAATAAAATTCTGTGGTCCTACCTTAGATTACCTTCAAAATTGACTTTCGAGTCTAAAGTTGAAAGTTTGAACAAATAAAGTTCTCAATAGAACTAATTCAGTTTTAAATCATCAGACGTTTTAGTATATGTTATACTCAGATGGCAATATTGAAAATTCTTTTTTGTACGAAAAAGTAAATTTTGTTCTTTTATTATATCTCAGAACAGAAGATACTAATAGAAATATGACATCTATACATTGAATTAGTCTCGTGCAAAATTTTAATTTAATAATCTAAAAGGTGATTTTGAAGGTAATCTAAGGCAAGAATACATTATTTTTTTGAGAAACCTACTAAACTGATTATAACTCACAGAAGAAAGATTCATAGACATGAATTCTTTTAGGTTTTCTATAGCCTTAATAGAATCTACCTAATAAACTAAGATTTATCTCAAAAGTAATTGAATACTTGGTGAGATTCTTTCGTATGACAGCATCACTAATGAGCTTTATATATCTCAAGTTGACATAAGTAATTAATTTATGCATAAATATATTGATTCATACGTAATAGGAATGAAAATGATGTTCTCGAAACGAAATAATCAAAAAATCTAAAGATGAACTTTGAAGTACGAAACTTTTTTGTTTGCAGTAAAACTCATGGTCGTATACGTAAAATTAATACAATAATGATTGATCAGTTCAGTAGACAAAGTAGTCTTGAAATATTTCGCTATAAATGTTTTCAAAAAAATTAGAAGGATTTTAATCATTTGGGAAAATAAGAATGAAGACTGAGATTTTTTTTTGGAATGAATTTTATTATATTTGTATTTTTCTCGATAATGGCTAATTAATTTCGAAATATTATCCTTATATACAGATTTTACTGTTTCTCATAAAAGTTCTGAAGTATTTCAAGATTTTTCTCGACTTTAAAATAAGAATTTTACAATAGCAGATAAAATCGAATAGTTTGATAGTTGGTTACAATTGAAATAGTTGTATGTGTAAACAATAAAACTACTTTATAATGAAGATTAGATTTTTGTTTTTCTTATTCATACTCGAGGAATTCTTCGACCGCCGAATAGATTAGCATAAAAATTTGTTTGTTGATTAATTTGCTTTTTCTTTTCTTGTTGAACAATCGGATCAAATAAGGCTAATAAAGATGTTGTCGATGTTGTTCCTGTAACATGTTGTTGATTATTTTGTTCATTTTGTTTTATTTCTTCTATTTTTTTTCTTTTAAAAACGATAGGAAAAGTACGGGTACAAGTTATTTCAATAATATTTCCATCTAATTTATCAAGTTTTTCTTTATAATTTATAAAACGACCATTTGACCATGTTTTATTTGAATTTTTAAATTTCAATTTATATAAATCTGATGATAATGGATTTGTTGAATGATCCATAAAACTTTCAGCTAGATCATAATTGATCATTCGTTTTGGTAATGATAATGATGAATTTCCACGATAACCACGAGAACGTCCACCACCACGTCGTGCTTGTTGAGGATGAGGCTTAAACTAAAAATATAATATTATTATGTGATGAATAGAAAACAGAAGACAATAAAATAAATACGGGCCGAAAAAGTTTTGTATCATGATTAGCTGAAATCGTAAAATGTTGAATAGATTCACGAATTATTTCCTCATTTGGGAATTGTGAACGATAATCAAATGAATTTGTATGTGAAATAGTTGAGTGTTGAGAATGATGATTATATGTAGATAAATGTAAATTTCGACTTACGTCATCTTGTAATCTTTTTAGATGATAAGGAAGATGATGAGACATCTAAGAAATATAGAAATTTAATATCTGTGAAGAGTTTATCAACCTGTTTAGTCGAAAATTGGTGCATAATAGAAAAAAAAATCGTTTTCTTACGAAACACTTGTATTATGAATTGTTTTATCAAAAGAAAAGGATTTTTTCGATAAAACGTTTATTTGTTCGACTTTATCGATAATCAAACGAAGTAAAAGATCGATTGATATATGTATATATATATCTATATAAATCAATGTCATCGAGAGACATCTGGAGGAAAATCATTTGAACATAATGTCAAGATATTAACTAATATAATACATTAATAGGAATGTTTTATTGATATGAATTCGATTGTCGATGTGAAAAGCAGACAGAAAAATATCCATCAATAATATTAAGAATAAAGATTGCAAAAAATAGTCTTGAGTTTCTACTATAGATTACATAATTGAGATAGTGCAAATATTTGATACAAAATAAATAGAAAGAAATATTGTAGTTCTTTAAATACAAAACGACAATAGGATATCATCTGATTGATTGTCTTTTGTTTAAATATAATGAAACCGAAAATAAGCATTTAGCTAATATCGTTTTTGAAAGATATTTTAATACGGCATTGTTTATGAGTTTATAATATTGACATTTAGCATTTCAAATAACAGAAGTAATATACATTAATCGCTTCATTAGTGTCTGCTACGTTTGCATTACAAAGACATATATAGAATGAATCTATCCCTTCATCATAGAAGACAATACTAAGATTTACAATACACTATTTTTAGCGGTATACATCTGTCTTTTTCGCATGAGAAAATAGGAAAACCAACACGATACAAAGCAACAGACGATAATTATTGTTAGATATTTTCCTAGTTGAATGTTCGAAAGGACACGCTATATATATAATACAATAATCCCGATGATAGTAAAATTTGTTTAATAAAACAATATGAACAAAATTATTTTTAGTTTACTTATTATTAATTTATTTTTATTTAAATCGATTATAACAAGAAGTAGAAGTATGGACGATTTTCTTTCATAATTTTCTCAAACAAAACATTGTTTTTCTTTTTTATATTGATGTAAAGGTAACGAAATCGATCAACAAATTATTCGTGAGCCTCTTCTAAATAATGTTATTGTTGCAAATAAAAATCAAGATCAACAAGGAAATATTGTAGTCCTTGATGAACAACTTCACTTAGCTGATAGCAAGTTTGAAGAGCTTTGTGACCTTAAAGATAAAAGTTTCGAACGAAATTGTTCACCACCCGAACAATGTTTATTAACATCATCAATTCATAATCCAAGTAAATCAAAAAAGAAATTCATATATATTTACCAAACAACAAAAATAATTTTATTCGTTTTTATTTAGTTAAAAAACATTCATTGAGAGCAGTACTCGAACTAAAAGAAGATGCTAATCAATTTCTTCATGCTTTTTCTAGAAGAAAACGATTTTTGTATCTTCTTTCATAAATTTCAATGATGTTTAGAAAGAAAAATATGTACATGAACGACATTATAAAGAATTATTTTTATACAAAGATTATTTTGTATTCACTGATCGATTTATCACGATCCTGTTCACCAATCAACCAATACACATATGATATTTGTAATACCTGATGAAAACCTTATGTATATATATTAACTTTTTGACTTGATTTAATACCTATACCTATATCTTATAAATACTTTGCAAACATTAATTAACTCGAATAATAAGAAGGAGTTTAATAAATGTTTATTATTAGAGAAACAATTTGTAAAATATAGTTCTTCCGAGTTTCATTTGACATTTTGTGATATTTTCAGAATAGATTCACTAAAATTGACATTGATACTGGATTCCAACCAAATCAGCTGATTTATATTTGTGTTTCTCTCGAACTATCATTATAATTTATTTGAGAATTTATTCGGAACAAAAGTGACTACTATAGTCACAAAAAAAACATCTGTGGATGTCAGAATTCTTTTTCTGATTACGAGGGAACTATCTCAGTTGTAACCCACCGTTTAAGCTCATATGGGGTCCATCAGGAGATCTCGTTAAGCTTCGAAAACCTTTTAAAAAATTCGTCTCCAATGACTCCGTGAAGTCAAAGTATGGTCGTGATACTGAATTTCGGCTGTAGTTTAGGTATTTACGGAAAAATCAAAACATAGAATTTCGATCTAAAGTTTGTTGCCATCGATAGGTCTAATGATTCTTAGAATATCCTGAAAGTTGTAACTGAAAAGAATGTTTCTTTGTCGAGATATTGAGGTTTCAAATAATAGTTATTTGCCACAGATGCATGACAAAAATCACGTTTATTTGAAAAAGTAATATCTTGAAAAAGAAGCATTCTTTTCAGCTGAAACTATTCAAGTATTCTAGAAATTCTTAGATTTCTCCTACGGGTAAAATTGCATATTTGCATTCCGTTATTCAAGTTTTTCATAAATACCTAAAAATGGATCGAAAATTTAGTAGAACAGTCGTAACTTGATTCGGAAGGTCATTGGAGATAGATTCTTTTACAGCCTTTTTTGGTCTTACAGAGACTTTTTTGTGTGAACTCAATACGAGCTCAAACAGTGGATTATAGTTGCCGTAATTCTTTCATAAATAATTCAAGTCTTTACTCTTGTCATACCAATGATCCGTTGAATGATAACAAAAAAGAATTTGATTTTAGAATAATTATTATTTTTCTACTTACTAAAATTTCTTCTTAAGATTTATCAAGAAAAAAGTAACACTCAACATATCAAAGAATCATTAGACAATATATAGGACGAAATCTTTGTGGAATGTGCGCTATACAAACAGTAAAAAAGAAGACGTACCTATTTGTTATCTGTTGGTTTAAACATTCATAAAAGAAAAAACTGAATGATAAGAAAATCTAACAATAATAAAAAAAACTGTGTATGTATGAAAAATCAGGTAGCACCAAAAGAAAAAAAAAACAAGAAAGTCAAAGTCAAAGTAACAAAAAATTTCAAAAATCAGTGACAAATATGAGACAACGGCTCATATATCAAAAGACAAAAAAAGAGATAGTACGTGTCTAATCCATTAGAATAATATTTCTTCTCAACAAATACATTGAAAAGAATAATAAAAACAACACTAAGAAAAACAAGTTAATTGAGTACGCCTAATATAGAAGATTCTGATATGGTCTCATTTCTATTCGATTCGTTCAACGAATTAACTGCATCACATACTGTATAATAAAGAATATTTTTGGCCTATAAATATCAAAATAAATTTTTGGTTTTAATTTAAAAGAAAAACACAAATCCAACCTGCAAGATATCAGCATGATTTGTATGAGTTTTTGATAATGATCGAAATTCATTTGTTGTTATTAAACATCGATCAAGATTTTCCGGTGAAACAAAATCTTCAGCAATTTTTATACATGAATGTAAATTTTTTACCTATAATATAAGATTTATTATTGAATCCATGAATAAAAACATTTCAATAAAAAAAAAAAAGATATATATATTCATTAATTACTTGATGTGGTGCACCACTTGGAATAAAAACTGCATCACCAAGAAATTGAAGTATTGGATATGCTTCTACATTACTACAATCTTTTAATTTTTCTAAATCTTCTCGTTCTAAATAAGCTGTTTGATCATGTATAGAATCAGAACCAGCAGTTTTACGTTGAGTCTAAGGAGAACAAAGAAATATTTGATTAGATTAAATTAGATGAAAAACATACTCGACCAATATATTCACGAATTTTCTTGGCATCATCAGAACGAAATAAATGCCACAGTGCGCCAGGTCTTTCTCCATTTCTCAATCGTTGTAATTGGGCTTGATCAATATTTGAATCAAGGATTTCTGCTTCTACTTCTACAGTAAACAAAACAAAAATAAAAATAAATTATTTTTCTTCATTGATTTAGAAAGTTTTTTTTTTATTTCATATTTACGTCGAATTTCTTCTTCTTTATCGGATCCATCATCACCATGACCACCAATACCAACATAGACAAGTACATTTACAGCATCAGATACATCAATATGAAGATTGGTTGTTCCTGCTTGCTTTGCTTCTCGACTTGTAAGTTGACCTAGGATATATTGAAGTTAAGATTAATACATAATGAGAAGGGAAGCACGTTAATTCAGTAAAGTAGCCTAAAGCACGAAAGTCTTGGTAAAAGCTATTCACTCCTTTTTCGGGCACTTAAGAATAGCCGAAGAAAGCTAGAAGTAATAAGTTATTAAGATTAGACTTTTTCGTTCTGTTCGAATAATGATTCAGAATTTCCTTCTAACGTAATATTGCAAAAGCATCATTACATTATTTCATAAATTCCAAAATAGTGGTTGTAAACAATACTACTTTGGTCAATTTTATATTTCGATTTAAATCTATCGGATTGAACATGTGTTATAGTTTTTTTATGGCTCACTTTTGTAGAGCACAGCATGATCTACAAAGAAAACGATTTACTTTTTTTATTTTATCTTGCATCATAGAGTTTAAGTTACATGATATTTCGCTTGTTGTACCAATATCTCATTTTGTACAAAATTCATTGCTCTATAATAGTGCTCAATTGAAGCTGTTTTAACACATGAAATAAGAGCGGTGCCAAAATCGCTATTTTGTTTTTACAAACAAAGTTTTGAACTTTTTCACAAAATTTACTAATTGTTGTCCAATCGTATCCCAGGAGGAAAATCTGAGCATATATTCGGGAAAAAGTGAAAAATTGTCATTTTAACTAACTACTTCTGCCTTTAACCAATTATCTTTAAGTGGTCGAATAATGCGTGAATATTTTGTCGCAAGACTTTCGCTCTATAGACTCCTGTAACAAAATCAAACAAAAATAATATTAAAAATTTACTATAGGCAATATAAAGTTTTGGTCCAAGATCAGGTTTAACTAAACAAGCTGGTAATCGTTCAACAATATTATGAACTCCACCATGATACATAACATCATTGTATACATACGATCGTCGAGTATAATCACCTGAATAATATATAAATAGAATGAAGAATAAAAATAATTGTGTTCCTTTACTAAATGGAATATTGTTCATAAGATCATGAAGACGCTCTGGAAAAACAGATGCAAAATCTTTTTTTGTTGGCCAATCTTTTAATTTAAGTATACGTCGTCGTCCACCATGTTCATCATCTTTCAAACGAACTATTTTATAAATTATAAAATTAATTTAATTATATATATTTTAATTAAATTTACCATTTAAACGTTCAAATCCTTCCCAAAAACGAATTAAAATCTCTTCATTTGTTTGAATTGCTGTTAATGTTTCGCAATCCCATAATAATGGCGTTTCACGATGATCAATCATGTGTAACTTAAATGAATTTGGCTGCCAAAGTGTTTTAGATAAATTATTATGAACTTGTTTAATAAGTACTGGACAACTAGCTGTCCAAACTTTTCGAAAAAACTTCGAAAAAAGGAAAAACAAAAAACAAATTTTATTTTCTTTTAATTAAAATAGAAAGATAACTTCTTTCTTTTTATCTTCATACATACACGTTTAGCATTCTCACTAATCCATTCATTAAAAACAGGTAAACGACCATTACAATAAAATTCAATATTTGGATCATGATTACAATCGATAGATGACCAAATTTTTTGCACATCACGTATATCATGTAATCTGTTCATTTTTAAAGTTTTTATAAACATTGAAAGATTTTCATTTCTTAATGATTGATAGAATTTCATTGAATAATCAATTTTTAATTTAGACAAATAATTAATACAATCATTACGTAATTTAATTAAAACTAAACATATAATTAGGGAATAGGGAAAAAAGTTGATTCTTTTTTGAGTTTGTTTCTACTTACTATCCCATGGAATAAATTCTGATAAAGAATATGTATTAACATGAGCACAAATACGTTTAAATTCTAAATTAATAAATCAAAAGCAAAAATATTCTTGAAGTTTTCTTTATAATATTTAAATAATACTTTTTCGTTTTTCAATATTCATTTGAGATAATTCATTTGAACATTCAATACAAAGCATATATCCACATTCTTTGCACATATAATGATAGTTAAAAAGTGTTGTTGAACATGCATCACAAACTTCTCTCCAACCAGCCATATATTGTTTCCAAATGATTGCTTCTTTTATTAATAATAAAAATCATTTATATATTCTCTATTGAGGAAAAAAAACAAATATTTTATTTTACTTTTATTTTGTCTTGATTGTTCAGCTTCTTCATGTAAAAACATTAAACAAAATACTTTAGCTATTTGTATAAATATATATTTTGCATTAATTAAATTTAATGGTGGTTGTCCACCTAATTAGATTTTAAAAAAAGTTCTTTTCTTTTTGTATATTAAAAAGATAATCTTTAATTTTACCAGAATTTGCCGTAGGCAAATATTTAGTATCTTGGGATTTGACTTGACCAACTGTTATAAATCCTTCGACTTCGTACTTATCATCACCAATATAGTTCAATCTAAATCAATATGAAAAGTTTTTAGTAAATAGTATTTGATATTTTTTAGAACAATATCACAAAAATGATGACAGTTTTCTTTGTATAAAATAAAGAAATCATTTTAAATTTTTTAGTTTGATATTGACGAAGAAACATTCTCAAGTTGAGAATCACTTTTGAGTTTAGATTCTGTACATAAGGTAGACATCAATGAAGTTTCAAAAAGTCCCAAAAGGATAAGAATTCCTGGATCTTCCCTGCAAAGTTATAGGTGTTTTACTTAAATTATAGCCTCTAGTGCTGTATGTACAAAAGAATCAAATGATAAATAGTTTGACCTAAAATTTCGTTGATAGATAGACCTACTCGTAACTAGAGTTTCCTTGGAATTTCAGCGCAAATGAATGTTCTGTTCGCAAGATATTGAATGTCCAAAACATCACTCATATTCGACGAAAGCTTCGAGAATCTCATTTTCCCATGAAGGGAGCATTTTCTTTAGCTGGAGTTTTCAGGACTGTTATTGGCTAACATTTCAGCAAAAGATTCTTTTGGGACTTTGAAATACTTCATTGGTGTCTACCTTATACACAGAGTTCGAGCGCAAAAATGATTTTCAAGTTGCGAACACTACTTTGTGAGAAAAATGTTCCATTATTCAAGATAGTTGAGTCATTATAACTAATTAAGATTAGCTTCAAAGAAGAACGCTTTAGTATTAAACTAAAATGTAAATATTACTGATTTTGAATCACGAGTTTTATTAAGTATCGTATTTAATTTTATGTTTGAAAGTATATTAGATATCATCGTATGTTCAAGCATTGTTTTCTATTTATATCTAGTTATTGAATTGTAGCATATATTTAAAGACATATTTATCCTTTACTTCGAATCTATGTTATATTTCCAAGATCAAAAAGAAAATTAACCATTGCTGTAGAACTTCATGTCTTTTACTTATTGATTTAGAGATCCATCTGCTATGGTAATAATATTTAGAGAAGGTATATTTGAATTAGGACAAACACAGAAAAGTAATCTCGTGCCATACACAAGACTCTCCCTTTATGCCTGCAAGATACAGCGGGTGGGGGGGAGAAAGTTAATATTCCTATAATGCAAAAAAAGTTGAATATAGCACAAGCAATTAAACTATTTTTTTTAATAAAAGACGTATGACTCATTAGTTTAAACCTAGAAAATCATTAGAAATAATTGAAATTCAAGAAAAAACAAAAACTTACGTTCGACAATGCTGAAATCGACAACTAGACTGTTGCATGGATAAATTTAATGACTTGATAGCTCGGCAATCAACACACCGTGAAATATCCTTTGGATATGATATACAAAGCTGATTTTGAGTAATAATCACTATGAAAAGAAAATAACAAGAATAAAATGAAACTATTTCATTCGAGAAAATAATTAAAAAAAAACAAGATTTACTTGGTATTCCTTTTTGAGAGCGACGTTTTATTAAAATCTGTTCTGATGATGAAGATTCAAATTTTCGTTTATTATTTTCTGTTGTTTTTGATGATGATGATGATAAGAAATGTATACTTTGATTTTCATTTGTATCTAATGAAAGTAAAGCTGTTGGTTGGTGTGTTGTATCAAAATTATTATCCATTATTTTTTGTTTTTGTTGTTGCGGACGTCGTGTTAATACAGGTGAACGGCATACTTGACGAGACATTTTTGATGTTCTAACAAATATTAAACAAACGAAAATATTAGTTTTTTTAATCATATTTTCAATATTTGTTTCTTTCTTTCATAGCTATTCATCTCATATTCAAACTAGCAACTAATTACGAGTAACACATTTATATCTTTTCTTTTATTCATCTAATTTTATTTTAATAAACTTTCGTAAGTAAAGATATTCAAGTTAATTGTTTTTTTAAACTCTTATTTTACCTTATGAAACGTTTTTTCATGCTGACCTGTATCCCATCCTAATTTTTTTCCCTTCTAACTCTATCCTACGCTGCAGGTTAGAGTAGGGTATAACTGACCTTCGAGTTCTACTGCACATTCCTCTTACTCTAACCCTGCGCTACTCAGTATTCATAGTACTCTACCTGCAGGATAAGATTGCCATATACAGCTCTACTCGTAAGTACAAGTAAGAAAGAAAAAAATGCGGGAGACTTTAAAATACACTTTTAGGAAATAGCAAAACCAATGTCTTAAATAAAACTTTTATGGAATTATATCATTGAAAATTGAATCAAAAACTTTGATTTAACAATGCTTATTAGATGACCATCTTAAACGCATTTTAGTCTTTTGGAAATGATCTTTAGCAAAAAAACAAAACAATCAGTTGCATTTGTTTCAAAAGCTAACTAATGATATTATGACGCAACATATTTTCAACACAAAAATAAATATGTTACTCAATCAACTGCCTTACTTTAATACAATCACGTACAGAGTACAGACAGAAATTTAAGTTTATATCTTTTCCTTTTTTCTTTTCTAAATATCACACATTTCTGTCATTCTTTTTATTGGATAAGGATTTTAAATATACGTCATTAATATTTTTGATATTTACTTGTTTAGATTATCTTTTGATATAAATTTTGTTTCTGATGAATGACAATATGAATGTCTTGGTCGATATTGTGGACTTTTATTATTACAATTTTCATTAATATCATTACGAGCTGATTGTATTTTGGATAATAAATCAGTTTCAACTGATTTTGATGGAGATGTTAGTAATTCATGAAGAATAGACGATGCACCTATTTGCTTATTGGTCGCTGATAAAGACTAAAAAAAAGAATTATTTAAATAAGAATTTGATTAAGAATAAATATCGTTCTTATACTTTTTTATTATTATTATCTTTTATTAATCTTTCATTAGTGGTATCAATCCTCCATAGATTTGGAATTTGTTCAATTCTGATGATAAAATCTAATATGATATAGAAATTGTATATCTACGAAATCTTTAAGAATTTTTTTTAATAATTTTATTTACTTGAAAGTTTATAGTTTGATATGTAATCATTATTATTTTTATGAAACGTTGAAAGATGGTGTTGTTTATTTGATAAATCCTTTGAATTACATTGATCAATTGAAGAATTTGATTGAACAATAGATTTCATTTTTCGTTTTGAAACTGATGTTGAAGTCGATGGCGAAATATTTGGAATACAATCATTTGTTGATAATGTTGATATTTTTCTTGATGTTGTAAGATTCGAATTTCGATTTGTTTTACAATTATTTTCTACTGAATTTGATGACGAAACGCACATTTTATTTGAATGATTAGGATAGTTATTTTCTGATATTGGCGATATTTGCATATGTAAATTTAATGAAGTAACGAATTGCTTAGATGAAGATGTATTTGATGATGAACTTTCAATAAATCGTCGATGTAAAGAATTGTATACACAATGATCAATTAAACAAAGAACTGAGTTACAGTAAAACTGATGTATTTGGTGATTGTGGCTTTAGAGATGCAGTTTCTAATTCAAGATGAGAACTATTTGAAGTTCGATCTAAATAATTTACCAATTGATTTGATGCAATAAATTGGTACATCTAAAAAAGACAACATTAAAATAATAATTTCAAGGTTATAACATACCTATTGTATGTACCAATGGTATTTCGATTTATTTACCATTGAACTTCTCTTTATAACCATTCAACATTATAGTAAAAAGAAAAAAAAGAGCCCCATCTACGTTTCTTTTTCTTTTTCAAATTCAATCGATTGATAAGGTTATACTGGTTAATGTGTGACTCAATAGGATTGTGATACTCATGACATCTATCAAAATTGAGAGGTCGATTTACTCACCTTTTTTCGGGTATTACAAACAGTAAATCAAATGAATATAAAGAGTCAGTTAGAACGTAAAAATAATATGTGACATACTTTGATCACGATTATTATCCTCGTGTTATTAATAAGCTATTTACAGGTAAGCAAAGGGATTAGTTTCAATCTGTTTTCATCTATTGTGTGTGGAGATAATAAGACAAAAGGGTCCATGTGAGATGATAATCGGCAGATACGTTTTAAATGACGGTGATTTTAAATAAATAATTCATTTTTTTTATTGTTTATTTTAGAAATAGGAAACTCTTTTACTGATTATTTCAGTATGTTCATCACCACCTTTATTATCAATAGGACAACGTGATCCAGATTGAGATTTGAATAACAGATTAAAATTTATCGAACGTCGAGATGTCTTTTTTTCTTTTTTGTTTAAGTTCTTAGATATCTTGTATCTTTACGTGAACATGATCATCTACATTGGCATTGGTTAAGCAGGTATTCCGCCGTATATATGGTATACAATTAAGCTGGTGTTCCTCTTCATGTATATAATGTTTCACTGCTAATTAGCTATGGAACATTATATACGTGAAAATGAACACCAGCTTGATTGTACAGCGTATATACCGTGGAGCACCTGCTTAACCAATGCCGAGTATTTTCATAATCATCTTCTTGATAAAATTGAAGTATATAAGTACAAAAAATCATTTCAATTACTTAATCCTGTCTCTTTTGAATATACTTCAGTTTCAATTAAAGTTGGTCGAATATAAAGTGTACTTGATTATGATCTTGGTAATCAATCAGCATCAACTTGAATTAGTTTTTTAATACATGTTGGTAATTCATTTCCATCGAATATCAATAAATATATGCATATATAATACATAAAATGAATATTTTAAACGTCAGCTCTTACTGGAAAAATACTTTGTTCAACTGATGTAAGCATGTGTTTCGTATTTAAGTCAGTGCCGGTCGAAAAATACAAATTTCTTCATTGTTACCTCGATACGCTTTCATACCTACAAAATTCCTTTAATAAAAAAAAAGTTGATGGATGAATAATAATTAGTTACATCATTAATAAGTAAACATGACAATGGATACACTTGTTGTAAGACACTATCCGTTCTGTTTTAATAATGAAAAATATTTAATTTTATTTAGACAGATTAATATGCACGTGAAAAAACACAAATAACTGATGAAATAGTAAGTGCTTTTACCATGTTTGTTGAAACCGAAATTACTAATATTGGAATGAAATTTCAGAACCACCAAGAAGAATTATTAGCTCAAAGTGAAAAAATTAAATTACAAGAACATATAAAGCTGACTCTTAAGTAATTCAATGAAACATTCTATAATTTTATATAGAAATTATGCATAGAAAATTTATATGAATAGATGATCAAAATGAAAAATTAATCATGAACCAACAACAACTGTTGGATCAAGAAAAATAATTAAATATATATCAAGAAAACGTATTGGATCAAGAAAAACAAGTAAATATATATCAAGGAAAAGTATTGCACCAAGAAGAAAAATTAACCATACAGAAAAAAAGTACTATCGGATCACGAAAAAGAATTAATTATTCAGAAACAATAACTAATCTATGAAGAAGAAAAATGATTGATGCAACAGCAACAAATATTGAATCAAGATGAAAACATTTACCACTTGCTGAGCAAAATTTCGTTGTTTGAGCAAACAATAATGAACTTTATAAAAATCATTATATTGATATGTATATTTGTGGGATGTATAATAATGTTGGACAAATAAATATCAAAATGCTGGTTTAATAAATGTTAAGATTTTGGGATTTGGTGCGTTCTATTAGTTTCCAGGAAACTCCTATTTTTTGAGCGTGACTGGGAGCCGGGCATAATGGCTCCAATGCGCCTGGTGGGCGTATTGTGCAAAAGGTGAACCAAGAGCGATGAGGTGTGACTCCCTCCACGGCACCCACATCGAGAGAGATGCGGCGTGACTCCCTCGGCGGCACCGAATGTCCATGATGCCGATTATATCCATTATGCCTAGTATGCCCACTAGGGAAACGGAATGCAGTTTTCGGAAATTGATTTGGCGTCCAGAAACCTATTGAGTTTCCTGAATAATAATATAACGCATCATATGAATGCATTCTGCTGTGGAAATCGTTTTCGATTTTCGGAAAAAAATTTGATTTTTGGAAAGTCAATTTGCGTTTCCGGAAATCCGTTTCCATGTGGAAATTGTTTTTCATTTCCGAAAATCCATTTGGTTTGGGAAAGTCAACTATCATTTCCGGAAATCCAATTTGACTTTCCGAAAATTCTGTTCTGAAGAAAGTCCATGCACTTTCTTGGAAACTTATATAATGTACCATATGAATCTTGGCTAAATATATAGGAAAATGTTGGTTTGATAAATGTTAAAGTTTCGCTTAAATGAAAAAGCTTTTTTTTTGTTCACATTTGCTCTGTTTTTGTTCAGATTTAAATAAATATTTCTTGTGAATAAACAAAAATTTTGTTCAAGATTATTTTATTTTTCAAATACATAAACACATTGTATCGACTTTCATAATATATCATTTCTCATCAAAAGGCCATAATACTTGTTTACATCCTTTGGCAAGTGCCAATTTATTCATATAAATTTTCTATGCATAATTTCTATATAAAATTATAGAATGTTTCATTGAATTACTTAAGAGTCAGCTTTATATGTTCCCGTATACTGCCTGGAAATCAACACACAATAATGGTTCATTTGAAGTAACAACATCCAATGTTAGCTAAATAAATATTAAAAAAATTAAATTATATTTTCAACATTTAAATTCACTCTAGAGAATAATAAAAAAGCAGTAATGTAACACCTGAGCACAGTCTCTAATCCTACATTTGATTTTTTTTGCCATTGTATTGTCTTTATGAATGATAATAACATCAGAATAAAATAAACAGTTAAACTAACCTGTACCTACACCTCTACACATTATAACTATTTAGTAATGTTTATGTATTTATTTCTACTCATCATGAGACTAGAACAAATAACAGCTAGACCTTCACTCGAGCTAAGCTCGAGTAGAAAAGTCGGGTGACTGCAGAGACGGAAAACTATCCGAATATAATACTACTATTCGAGATCTACTCATTCTAAATCTTGCCCTGGCGTAAAGGAAATCATAACGAGTTTTAGTCGCCTTCAGTTACCTTGGCCAAACTGACAAATGAGAGATAATTAATCTGAATCATACATTGCCATATAAGAAAACTATGAGTTGTTAATTATCGTTTTTCGCAATCTTATAGCTCCCGAACGAAGTTAAATTTTCTAAAACGGATGGGTGTTGGTAGGTATGAGTGAAGCTGTGGGTGTAAAGATGAGAGTGTTTGTAAAACGAAGATCTTCACTAACATCCAGAGCTCATATTAACACATACACACCCATACCCTTCATGATATTCACTCTCTCTTTTTGTCTTCTATTGATGAGAAAAATGCTCCTACTCCTTTCTTAGGTATCTCTACTATTAAAACTACTTCATCATCTACATACAATCGATTGCAAAGAATTTTATTAAAATTAAAATAAAACTAAAAACAGCTAAAGTAAACAATATTTTTCGTAAGATTAATCGAGACACGATAAAAAAAACAAAAAATGTGCTTTTTCTGTACTAATGTTCTCTCTTACTTATGGCTTATTCTCATTTATTGCTGATCATCTGTCTTTTTCACTTAATTACTTTGACAGAAAATATAAGCGCTTTAACTTATATATAGATACTGCGCTCATAATCCTTTCTTTGCTCTGCAAGTCAACCTGCGATGCCTCAGTGCTGTAATCAGTAGAACATTTTTCTTATCAGTACCTGTCTAACGCTATTGAACTAAAACCGAATCGAATCGATTGGTAGACCTAGATGAGTCACTATTGACTTTTCTCATCGTGTAATAGTCAAAGCAGCCTCTCAGTTAGTTGCATTTATCTCTGAATTACTAAATTAATTGAATAATGTTTCTGCTTCAACGTTATAGAGCTATTTATGAAATCTGATTCTCAATGTGTTGAATTGTATGACAAGAAAATTTATTCCACTTTCCCAACTTGCTTCACCGATCGAGAAAGCATGAAAATATTCTTCTAGCATACTAGCACAGCTTCTCATTTGTTTGTAAGGGCATGATAGATTTTCTGACATGCTGGATTTTAGTCTCATCATTGTCTGTTATTTATAGATGATGAGATTTCTACGAGACAAACAAGCGAAAGTTCTGTTTTGTAGGATATCTAGAGGTTAAGTCAAAGGTATTTTCTATAACTTCTTACTTATATAGAGTCTACTATTAGCCAATGTCGATTGCATATTAATTTGAGCTCGTTTTTTTTTATGTGAACGTCTTCGGAAATAAAGCTCATGAAATACTTTATTGTACTTCGCTTCTGTTCAAATTTTGAAATACAACGAAGTATTTTCACCTCAGTATCAAACAGAATTGAATAAAATACATTCAAAGTAGTATGGTCCTTACTAACATTTATATTAGAATTCAAATAGCTAAGAAACTGCTGACAATTGCTAAGACATATTATTGAAATATACAAAATTAAGAGAAAAGTTCGAAGTTTTCTTTTTTTTTTCTTCAAGCATTCTCGAAATTGTTAAAGTAGCTCTATCATGTTTAATGTTCTAATCTCATAAGAATTGTGCTGAAAGCATTTTCTCAATATCTGTTTTTATAAGTTTTCTTTGTTTTAGCAGCTATCGATCGGTATAACATTTCATAGGACTACAAATTGTATATTAGTTTCGCACAATAATGAGATGTTCGTCAGACAGAAATTTGGAATTAGGTATAGATTTACTTGCGCGTTATAACAGATTAGATTTACTAACTTTTTAGTCTCTGCGAAGGATATTCTATAAATAATACAAGATGAAAATAAAAAAATTAATAAATTAGAATGAAGAACAGTAATTCCATTTTGTTTCAAGAATATAATTTGACGTCAAAGTGTCTTCAAAACATAAATGAATTGTATGTTGACGAGCATTCACTTGATAGAAATATTCTAAATCATGCTCTTCCATAAAAATAGTTATTGATATCAATAAGATCGATTCGATATGCCAAAAAGAAACGCCTTTATGATCAATTTTTTTGAAAAAACACATGTATAGCTTCGAAAAGTTCTAGATCTTTCAGTAGAGAAAATCTTCTGTCTACTGAACCGAATCGATCATTTATCATTACCGTTTGTAAAACTGCTCTGCCTTTTCTGACAAGACAGGGCAGGATTCGAAACAAATTACTTAATATATCAATTTTTAGCATCCAGATGTTAGTAAATGTTTTGGAATGCTTGCATCCTTATGCACTTACACAAATATTGAGATCCAGTTAATAGACTACTTTTCGTCAGAATCTATGCCGCCCATCTTGATAGATAACTTGAAGAGGGATTTTAGATTCTAAGTGAAAAAGTATTTATAGATTCGCTTTGATATTCTGATCGCATATCATTTCGATTAATTTATTATCAGAATTAGATATATATCTGACTCTAGTTAGTAAAATAGTCTGTTTTCTATCAAAACCATATATGACAACAAAATTATGAAATTTAGAGTTAACATTAAAGAAAATGGGAATCCATGGTTAATATTCAATGTATTAATGTATGTAGAATCTCTTAATGCAATTAAATATGGTTGATTATTAAAACATCTGAAAGATTTTTTTATATAAATTGTATCAGGTGTTGTTTCAACATCATTTTAATTTATTTCATTTGATATTAATCTTTGTATTGTAAAGAAAAACATAAACCATTTATTTTTTTAATTAATACACTTGTTGATGCATACCATAAAATGATGAAATAATAACGAAAACACTGCTAAGAACTATTTTTCCAGCAACGATGGCTCAACAACACTATTATAGTTATTACTGATACAGAACAATGCATGAATGGTTTCTTTCAATTGTACATCAGTTAATAGAACATACACAGATCTTAACCACGTTTGAGAGTCTAACGAAGAAGTTCAATAGTGTACCGAATATGACAGCATGAAGAGCTTTCTCAACTAGTGACAAATATTCTTTTTTCTACATAAAAAATTCACGAGCAACAGAAGTTACTATTTCAGAGTTTTTCAGTCGATACAGGACTTCACTATTCTATCAATAGATCCAAAATCCGGAAGATAGCTCCCACAACAATTTCATTATAATTTACATGCACTACAATAATGAATACAATTGCTGACATTGTCCAGCATTTGTTATCTTAAAATACACATTCTGATGTCGATCTATTAAATAAAATATTTTCCCATTGAAGCAACAACTACCTATATGCAAGGACGGTCAAAATTATTCGTACAACTGACGAATAACCTTGTTATCCTAATATCTTTGCAATAATTCGATCTTTTGAGTTTCGACTTTCATCAAAATGTAGCTGAAGTTTTCTAGTATAATCACTGAAATTTTCATCTTGATTACCCATGTATTTGATATTCTTAATGGAAAATCAAGGTGTGGGTGTGCGTAACTATTAAAAGGATATGAGCACTGATACCGACATTCACCTACATTTACCCACACGCTTCTATTTTAGGTCTCACTATTTACTTTGTTAAGACTTAAAGAATAATTTTGAAGAACGAGAGAAATATCAAATTAATTGTTTCTTGCAGCTACGCTATTTCACTAAAATGCTGGCAAAATTTACTCAATAATATCGTGAATCTCTTCGGCTGAAGAGAAAAAGAATCGATGGCTCATCTCTTGTTTTCTTCAAACAACTTTCCACCAGCGGACGCGTGATCCGAAAAAGACTGGAATTTTGTTACTTGATCGTTGTTTCTTTCAAACATCGCAGAAAAGAACAACTATACAATTCGAGCATGAAACGATTCACGAGGTTTGTAAACGACCAAGAGAGAGAAATGAAGCATCAGTGTTTACAGCCGTTTTTTATCATATGAATAAGACACAGAATGCATAGAATGCCCATGTGTATAGAAAAAATGGTAAAAGTTGACGTATACGAATAAATTTGAGTGGAACAAAAACTGTACAACTTTAATGTTTTTACCTGAAAAATATCAAATATACGGCTAATCAAAATGGAACTTCCATTGAATGTCCTAGAAAATGTCAGCTACATTTTGATGAAAGTTGGAACTCGATAGGTCGAATTATTGCAAGGATATTAGGATAACAAGGTTATTTGTCAGTTGTACGAATAATTTTGAACGCCCTTGCATATATACATAGATGTATATACATGTATATGGTAGGACTCAATTTAATTCATCATTCGAATAAAAGATGTTAAACAGCCATGTTTTTCGTTCCAAAAGAATGAATACAAAGAAAAGAAAATGAGTTTCGACTGGTGTACAATTATTCATTAGATTCTTATTGGCACATATAAGTTATCTTATGTTCGTAGTCCTTTTGATAGTTAAGTGTGAATGTGTGATCGAGTAGATATTGAGAAGAACCACAGCCACATTCTTGAACAGCGCACAGGTTAGCAAATGAGTAGCTTATATCGAATCATTTGATAGCATCCAACACTGAGATTTAAATTAAAACTTGTTACAATCGATTTAGTTGATTTTACCTGATTACTAACTGAAAAATTGGTTTTTGTCATGTACATTTCTAATCGATCACTGTCATAGGCGGTGGAGCCACGAGGCCTGGGTAGGCACGAGTCTACCCTAGGTTAGAAAAGTAAAGACTTGGGTAGGCTCTGATAAAGGCTTGAGTAGGCTCAGATAAAGGCTTGGGTAGGCTCAACCTAATGTAAAAATTTCCTAGTATTAGTTAACTTTCATCTTCTTCTGACAGATGACGCGTTATTACAATTTACTCCACATTTTATATCTTATAAACTGGTGTCCAATTGGATACTGATTGGTTTCCGTTGTCGTCCAAATCAATGTCGAATTCTTTATTTTCAATATAAGATAATTTAACTGTTGTTCTAAACTTCTTTTGAAAATAACTTTTACATTTTAAGTAATTAAAGAACAGTAATCTTTCTGTGTATCGATGTCAGCTAAACAGAGTCAGATTACGACTTTTTTTTCTCAAAATAAAAAAAAGATAAACAAAGATTTTGATGGAAATTCTATTTCTGTTGATATTTTATCAACGAATTTAAATGAGACTCAAGGTGAAACAACATTGTGTGCAGAGATGCTACCTCTAGTATCATCAGAGACCTCAATATTACCTTTACCAACTACAACTTCATCAACGTTAGCTTTACCAACTTCACCATCATCAACATTAGTTTTACTAACTTCACCATCATCAACATTAGTTTTACTAACTTCACCATCATCAACATTAGCGCCAATAACTTCACCATCATCAACATCAGTTTCATTAACTTCACCATCATCAACATTAGCTTTACCAACTTCACCTTCATCAACATTAGCGTCAATAACTTCATCATCATCAACATCAGTTTTAGTAACTTCACCATCATCAACACCAGTTTCCTCAACAACAAAATTAAAATGTGAAGCTACTTGTTGTATATCTAATGATTTATATGTTCCTCGAAATCAATCCGATTTTAAATTATCAAGTGATAAACGAAGTGGTCAATTAGGTTGGTTCTTAAAATATCAATGGCTTACTTATTGTCAAGTAAGAAATAGAAACAAAATTTTAGAAACTTGTTTATTTTATAAACATCTCTCATATCTCTCTTGCTTCTTTTAGAGTGAAAATAAAGTTTATTGTTATTTTTGTCGTACAGCTTATTATGGTGGTTTTCATCCAGAACCAAATAAAAGTGGTGAAGCTACGTTAGCATTTACTGGTTTCTCTGATTGGAAAAATTCTATAACTCGTCTGACAAAACATGAATCTAGCAAAACACATTCTGACTGTGTATATTTAGTTAAACAACAACAGAAACCAACAGTTGCTGCTCAACTAAACCTAACACATCAAATTCAACAAGCAAAACGACGGCGTATGCTTCTTACAGAAATTCAGTGCATTAAATTTTTATTGAGACAAGGTCTAGCTATTCGTGGGCATGTTGAAGATGAAGCAAATTTAATACAGTTGTTAAAATTACGTTCATCTGATGTTGATGATCTTGCTGAATGGTTAAAAGAAAAAAACTATTTATCACATGATGTTATAAACGAAATTTGTCAACTCATTTCTTTATCAATTGTTCGTGAATCAGTTAAAGAAGTAAAAAATGGATTTTGAAAACTATTTATTCGATGTGTTTCTCTACGTGTTGTTTAGATTTCTGAACGTAAAATTTATAGCATAATATGTGATGAAACTCGTGATGAATCGGGTAAAGAACAGTTATGTTTTACGATGAGATCTGTTGATGATGACTTTATCATATATGAAGATGTACTTGGAATGTATATGATCGTATCACAAAGTGCAGCAGATATAACTGAAGTTATTCTTGACATTATATGTCGATGTAATTTGGATATTAAAGATTGTAGAGGACAAGGGTATGATGGTGCTCCATCTATGGCTGGCCATATATCTGGCACAGCAGCCCGAATTCAAAGTTTATGTAGGAAGGCATTTTTCGTTCATTGTAATGCGCACTCTTTAGATCTTGCATTACAAGATTTAACTTCTACATCATCAAGTATTTCTACTGCTTTAAATATAACAAATGACATTATCAGTTTTATAAAAGATTCTCCAAAAAGATTGAGTTTATTAGATTCATTAACAGATTTAAATAATTACACTCAACTAAAACCACTTTGTCCACATCGTTGGACGGTGCGTGCATCGTCAATAAATTCGTTATTAATCAATTATTCATTAGTAAAAACAGCATTAACAGAAATTGTTGAAGAAGGTGAACATCCAGCACCAAAAGCTAATGCATTAAAAGAACAAATGGACAAATTTTCAACTTATTTTGGACTAAAACTAGGCGAGTATATCGAGCTATATTTATATTTCTGAATTTCGTAACGGACTTAATCAGTGGTGATTTCTTTCACAGATAAATAAAAAATAAGAAACTAGAAAATGAAAAGTAATAAGTTAAGAGAGCTGACCCTTTTTTGAACACTTTACGACTGGTAAAAGCTCTTCTCAAGAAGAAAGTTTTTTAAAACGAAGTTGATCTTTAATAACATTTTCATTGTTTATATTTTTAGCTAATTTAATCTTTTCTGCCACCGAAGAGGTGTCCTGTTCTTTACAACGTGTGGAAAATAATCTACAAGATATTTTGTGTTCAATTGAAACTTTAACAAAATATTTATTTAGAATTAAAACTGATGAATATTTTATGATTTTTTTTCAAGGTATTCAAGCTGAAGCTAGATCATTAACAGAGGAACCATTTTTACCACGTCCTAGAAAACCCCCTTTAAGATTTACTAATTATTTACCAACACCAACACGTTATGAAACAATATGTGATTTTTACCATTATCAATATTTTGAAGTTATTAATAAAATTATCGATGCACTTGATTCACGTTTTAAACAATCAGTATTTCCTTTACTATGCAAAGTTGAAAAATTTATTTTATCAGAAGCTAATATTACTAAAGAAGAAGATACTGTAAGTTTGAATGATATTAAGGAGTTTTTAGTTGGTGACATTGATATTGATCGATTAGAACGTGAATTAACGCTGCTGCCTGATTACTTTTCAACAGTTAACAAACAAACAAATCTTAATTTAAAAAGAATTACAAAAATTAGTACTATATGTGAACTTTTAAATACCGAACCAGTTGGAAAAAATTTATTTTGTGAATATCGTAAATTACTACTATCATATTTGACAATTCCAACAACAACGGCCGCTGCCGAACGCTCATTTAGTGCATTAAATCGAATAAAAACACATCTACGTTGTACAATGACTCAACAACGATTAAATCATGTTATTATTCCTCATATACACAAAGAAAAATCAGATCTGCTTGATCTGAACAGAATTTGTTCTGAATTTATTTCAAAGAATCAGAATAGAAAAAATTTCTTTGGTCATGAATAGTACTATTTTCTGTTTCTATGTTTTTATTATTGTTTTCAGCAGCATTTCCTTCTTACTATGTTAGATCTTGATTCATTTATAACAATAAAGCACTAAATAGTTACCATAGATCTGCAGAATTAAAGTATAGCAAGAAAAACTAGTGTTTGCTACGATAGATAAAGCGCACTGACTTTCAAACCACTCTTCACGATAGTGTGGCCAAAACTATGAGCCTACCCTAGATTAAAACCGTTCCACCGCCTATGTAGATAATACTTATTTAGACTTTGTATAGATTATCACAACCAAGAAAATTCTTTTTTAATTCTATTCTTGTTTATTTTTCATTTTCAGATAAAGAAAAATTTACATATGAAAAAACAAAAAAAAATTATGTTGACGGACTACTATGACGACGTCGACGGTGTTCACTAGAGCTTCCATTTCGATTATCATCATCAGGAGATTTTTGACGATGATGTCGGCGGCCGCTTTCAATGGTTACTGTTGCTACACTGGTATCCATTTCTTCTCCCAGATGTGCATCCTCATCGGTTATTGGTGTTGCAGAAAATGTTAGTTTGAAAAAGAAAGGCCAATTGGATGCTAAAATAACATATGATTATAAATCAGATCTTTTTCTATTTTCATCAAAACAAAAATACATACATTGATGAGGTATTGGATAATTATTTGCCAAAATCAAACACTCACAAGCATCCGTAATTGTTCGAAATTCAGCAAGACCAGTAACACCTTTTGGTTGACTATTTCCTCGACGATTACGTTCGTCTATGTTTAAAACAAAAATAATTATAAATTTATTCGTGTAGAAAAAAATACATACGATGTGATTCCTTTCTTGGCGGAAAATTTTTCACTTTAACTGGTCGTTTTGCACCAACATCTTCAAAAAATCGTACAATATCAACTTCTATCATATTAGGTGGTGTATTAAAATAATATAAAACATGTGATGGTGCAACAGGACGATTTTTAATTGCTTGATCACTTGTTAAATATCGATTATTACGATTATTATCAAATTCCATATAGGATGGTTCACCATTTTCTAACGGAAATGGTCGAGTCATTGGTTGAATTTCAATTTGACGCGAAGGACTTGAACGAAAAAAAATGAATTATTTTTCTATTACATCAAAAGAAATAATTTCACTTACACAATAATAAATGTTTGACCGAAAATAAATGTTGAATTAAGACTTTTTAAATGTTGTCGAAGATTTTCACAATGATTCATTTGTACCATGGCACCGCCTTCTTTCGATTTTAAAAATTTAACCTAAGAAAAATAAATAAATCAAAATAATAAAATCAATGAATTATTTCTGTGGAGCACACTCTAAAAGGCGTGTTGAAGTATAGGGGTGAAAATATGGATTCTTCTTCCACAGATCATGACTACAGTCTGTAGGATCAACAATTTTTAGACCCAGACTCAGACTCGATTGAACCGTATATTGACACTCTCAATGAAATTTTCTAATCAGCATTGAATAGTCACCCCGAAGATACGAGATATCCTTTTTTGACTTTTTGTATTTGGTGATTAGCGCATCCCACACATTTCTCAGACGACTAGAGTCCATCAGATTCAATATTTTCGGACTCGGTTAACAGAAAAACTTCAGATCTGAACCTAACGAGCTCTGCCCATGAAAGACACCTTAGTAATGTCCCCCTCCATCGTACCTCATAGAGAGTGATTGGCGTTGGTGGATATACGGTCTTTGATCGTATATCAATAACGTCCTGCTCTATTATATGAACTACTTCTTTGTTCCATTCCTGAAGAATTCAGTAAAAAGATGGTGACGAAATGTGTCTCAGAATAGGTAGAATAAAGCAATCTCTCTGTGATTATTAGAAGCAACTATATCTTGTTTCACATATTAATCTCTCAAGCATTACGCTAATAATTTTCTTTAATTACGTACACGTGTAACATTGCCATAGAGACAAAGTAAATTAAATAATCTTTCACAATTCCAACTAGGTGAAGAAAGGCCTTCAACATTGAACACATAAGAATCAGCTGTAACTGATGATGGAGGCGGTGGTGAAGATGCTTCATGGAAACGATTCGATCCAACTTGATATGAAAGTAAACGTTGTTGATGATCAATAGAATCCAATTGTTGAGCAATGAAATGCGGATTATTATTAAATATTTGTTGTTCAAAACCTCCGGGATTATCACGTGATGATGGTCGATCATGCGATGGTGCAAATGATGATGTTCGTTGATTTAAATATCGATCCAAATCAGTTTGTAACGTTGGTGCAAATCTTGCATTTGACTAGAAAAGGAATAACAGTACAAACATAGATAAATTTCATTTCAAAACATACCGAAAATGGTTCATTACCAAGCATAGGTGGTGCTAAAAGAAGTTGAAAAAAAAACATCAAGTTTTAAATAAATTTCTTTTCTACCAAAACGTTCAACTCGTGGTGGAGATGATAATAAAGTTTTTCGACGAGTATATCCTAAAAAAAAGATAAATTTAATATACATCGGAATTGAATTTGTTATTGAAGATAAATATAGAACAGAAAGAAACAGAGTATTATAATGAAGATTACAAAGACAACTATACATTAATAACCAGTTCATTTAGCCACGATGATCACGATCTAAATAGAATAGAAATAAATATTAAAGACAAATATATTAATTATAATACTAATTTGTAATAATTCAATGTCTTATTAATCTGAAAGTTAAACTATATGAGAATTGAAATTTTATCAGATATTGAATGTTATCGATCTAATTATTAAATGACAAGAGAAATAATCAAATTATGAGTATTGTTGAAACAATTTATATAGAAGAAAACTGAAGCAAAGATAGAAAAGATTTTTCATCCAATATAATATGTCAATTAGAATTTCAAGTAAAACAAAATCTCGATTAATCAATGAATTTATAAATAATGAGATGATTAAATGTATTTTATTGATATTTAAAGAAAAGTTTTTTTTTTTTTCAACAAGTACTGATATTTATTAAATCTAAATTAATATTCAACATGTCATTCAAAATATACAATTAGAACTATTATTTATAAATTAATATGAAGAATTTTTTCTTCTTTCGTACAAATGATTAATCATCTTTTAAATTTTAAAAATAACTAACAAATATGGCAGAATAAATAATGATCTCGGTATTTTTATTTTATCTCAATGTTGTTTTCATCATTTCGAAAGAAATTTTTCTCAATCAAAAGGTTCAATAACCATACCCATCTTCATTCATATGAAATACTACGAATAATTTATCCATTGGATTATTCAAAGAGCAATGAATCTTATAAACACAAAGCAGAAAATGTTCATATTTCCATCATTGGTTTAAATTCTGATTCTTGATTTCGTACACATTTGTTAAGTCATAGAAACATTTTCATTACTATATACCATCAAAATAAGATATTTAGCAATAACTGAAGATTAAAACATTATAGAACAAAACCATATGCCATCATTCAACTTAATAGTTATATCACGACAGTCTCTTGTTTTGTATTGATAAGGTTTATTACTCTTCGAATAAGTAACGTCTAAATTAGTTTGACTATTAAATATGAAAAACAAAAAAACTTTCGATTAAGGAATAGAAATAGATCGAAGTCAAAAATAACACTACTGGATGATAGTATGGGTATCTCTGAGTTTTCTCATTACTAAAACTCATGTCCTACTAAGTTTCAGTCAGATATAGGTCGATCGTACTTATCACTAAGATCAAGTCTGATACTAATCGATAAATTACATCAAATTTTGTCAGGTGAAATTATTCTCTTCAACGACATAACTTTTGAAACAAATTTTCGACGAAAATATTCAGTTTTAAGAGGTTTGTTGTTAATAAAAAGAAGTCTTGAAAAATATCCATTCGTTAATACATTCAGTGCTCTATTTGGCATAAATATGTAGGCGAATATTTTCTGAAAGAAAAATATGAATCTATTGCTAACTTTACCGACATACCCTTTTACTGAATTTTGACCAGAAATTTTGCTAGTAGATACATATAGTTGTCCTTAGAATATCTTCAAGATTTCAATTGAAATAAATGTATTTTTTCCATGTTAGCATGCTCCTTTCATGAGTCATAAGAATTTTATTAATATGATTTCTTTGTTACTATAGAAACGACAATATGGATGTCTATCGAAATAAAATATATCAGTTTAAATTCTCTTAGAATAAAGTCATTATTGATCTAAGAAGAAACACATAGTTTTGTCGAGAAGAAAAGAAAATGAATATTTGAATTTGAAAATAAAAAGAAATACAGAGACCGTAATTTATTTTTTTTTTGCACATATTATAGAATTTAAATTCTTAATCTATTCTATTTTATGATTTATTATATTAATATATTATTCATTTAATTGATCCCAATCTTCAGCTTTGCGTTTTTTTAATATTTATTCCTATTACTTACATTTTTTTATTTGTATACATAAATAGTTACGAATGATAATGGATGATACATTTTAATATTAAATTGTCACAATTTTTAAGATATAGATAATTATAAAATGATATATACCAATATGATTAATTATGTAAATTTTTAATAAATATTTTTATTTTATGGATATTTAGTTATGTGTGGTATTAGGACTTGTTTGTTGTTGTTTTCATACATAATAAAAAAATTCTTGTTTATGGTATTTTGCAGTTTGTTGTGAGATATAAGATATGTATGAATATTTTCGATTGAATTATACGAGATTAAGAATAGATTTTAACTTCAGTTAATATTTTATACTTACTGTTTTCATCGACTGTTAAATCAAGATTGTCTTGATCATTACCACGTACAACAAGATGTTTCAGCTAAAATGAAAAAAAAAAACAAAAGCAAAAGAGAAAATGTTTATATTCGATATGAAAAAATAGGTGGGTTTTTTTTTTTTTTCTTACATTGGCAAATTCAATTTTGAGTGTACAACAACCAGAATATATGTCTGCCTGAAAATAGAATAATTGAAATAATAAAAGACAACAATGAAAAGAACACGTACACCATCGAGTTCATCTTTAATTTTTCTTGCCGTCTCAATAGAATCAAATTCAATTAGAGCTTGAACAATACGTTTACGTAAAATACAAATACGTAATACTTGTCCGGTAACTGAACAAATCTTTCGAATAACATCCTGAATAGAAAAGAATTTTTGTTGAAATTTTAATATCTAAGAAGATATTAATTAAAAATTTACAAGTGTTATTGGATATTTAGCATTTTGAATTGTAAAACAAAGTACAGTTGTTTCGTTCAATGTTGTATTTGTAAATTGACCATGAGTTCTAAACATAATTAAACGAACATAAATATATATATATATATATATATTTAAGAGTTAATACTCGGATCGTTGATCAATATCATTTCTTTCTAAAAATTTCATATTGTTATCCTCATCAAGTGTATCCCATTTCATACGATGAGCAGCATTCATATTATCACCACGAGCATCATCACCACGCATTCGTTTTACACCTTGTCCACCGTAATTTCCCATATTATTTGCATTACTGTTATTACGGCTGTTAAGAGACATATAGTTATTAATACTTCCTCGGTGTTGTTGCATACTTAAAATAACCAATAAATAAAAGTGATTAAATAACAAGAATAGAAAAAAAAAAAAAAGGTACCTGTGACGAGGGCCTGACATTTGATTTGAGGCATTTGAGTATAAACGTTTGTCCATTAGTCAAATGTGCTTAATCAGTTTTTAATATTAGTTAAAAATACAATTGTGTCTTTCTCTTCGTTATTTTCAATGATGGCGAACTGTTGAAATTGCTGAGCTGAAGAAAAATTTTTATTGGACGTTATATGTACCAATATAAAATATATAATCAAAGTGCATTGGTAGAGAGATTCAGAAGAACAGAAATGGTTTCTTACAAAATCATATTATCATACTGTAAAAAACACAATTTAACAGAATATTAAATGATATTAAGAGACGCTATTTGAAAATCAATTACAAAGCATTGTCAATGCATTTTTATTGATAAAAAAGAAGCTAACTTGATGATTTTATCAATTAATATATCTGATGATTTATTTGATTTAATGAAAGTATCAGATTCGTTTTATCTCAGATAAGTAGTAGAAAATAACAAAAATATAAAATTAAGAATAACAATTGAAAACAAAAATGAAAATCTAGATTATAAATTTGTTAATTTTTTTTTTCAAATGAGTCTGTTATAAAGAAGTAAATATAGATTATAAGCAAATAATATAATTTTTCTTATTACACATAGCGACGAGAGTAGTTGAAACTCTCTTCACTGAGAATGAGTTTTTTCTTAAATGATAAACAAATATACTTTCAAATCGAAAGAGTTCAAATAGATAATTCAATAATTCCTTTGCCTTTTCACAACATCATTGAAGAACTTCGTTAGTACACGCAAAGATTGCTTTGATTTTTTCAATTAGCAATTTATATAAATCTTGAGAAAATATCATTTTGAATTCAACTTCATCAGATTTATCTCTTGGTTGTATTTTCAATTGTTGTTATGCTTTTTTTGTTTAAATTTCTTCAATGATTCTTTCGAAGCTTCGTAAGTTTGTTGATTTAGAAAATTAGCTTCGTCTTCGGTTATATGACTATGCCTTTGCATATTTTCCATAATTTGTTCTTTTTACTAATTTAGACGTTTCAAAATCATTTCTGAACTTAATCCATGTACAGTTTCTTTGCATCTATCCTAAAGAGGATGATTCTGAAGTAGTACAATCAAAGTCGGTTGCAATTATGGTATATTGTTAAACATGATTGTTTCTGTATTTTGATTTGTTACATGATTAAAACGAAGCAGTAGAATCAGTTCAATTTCAATATAAAACAAAACAAAAAATTAAATATTCTGTCAATTCACTTACTGTGATAGAATTGTGACATTCGACTGTGATCGTCGAATTAAGATATTTTTTAATTGGAAAAACAGTGAATAAATTTTCGTTTGAAAGCATTTTACTACTGATTGAAGTTAATGAACTTATTAACTTTCTCTAAGGATGAAAGTCCTGCGACTGATAAGTCAATTATGAGTCGAGACTATGTGCATTGTATTTAGTCCAAATGAGCTACGAATACCTTGAAAAGAGTTCGTGTCATTAGCTTATTGCCACGAAGATACTGTACTTTTACGGTATTTTTTAAAATGAACATCGTGGTCATTCTGAGAAAAACTGATTTCTTTTTTTAATTTTGACTCGAAACTTCGCATAGAGATAAGTCGTAACGAGAGTAGTCTATTGTGAAAGTTTCAGATCTTTTGATTTGGTTCTATGCTAAAATAAGAACATCAAATCTATTGGTTTATATGAGTGATGTGAAAGACGTGTTATTACCATTGTTGTATCTTCGGACAGTGATAGCGATAAGATTTGAAGCATACACAAGAAGCTATTCTCGTAGAAGGCTATCTCTATGCAAAGTTTCAAGTCGAAATTAGAAAATCAGTTTTTCTAGTGTTTATGAGAGGGATCAAGGTATTCATTTAAAAAAGTATTGTAAAAGTACATTATCTTCACAATAATAAGCTAAGAGTACGAACTCTTTTCACGGTATTCAATAGCTCATATGGATCTACATATCTGATATCCAATAGCCGGTGGTCATATATGTCCATGCTAATGAAAAAAAGAAGAAAACAGACAGAGGATAACGAGAAGAAGAAGGGTAACTATTATTCAACCTTCTTACTTGAAATTATGTCAATATTAATAAGAAAAAGAAATGACATTATGTTTCTTTTTTTTTTCAAACTACGCAAAAAGAAATATAATAATATTACTAGAACAAGGAAGTATGCAAGAATTTCAATGATTTTCATACTCAAAGAAAACAACAGATCGAGATATTTATCAAGTGATGAAATAGGTAAACCATTGAGAAAGAAACATGTGAAAGCGAACGTAAACTTATAAAAGATGAATACACTTTGCTATGGTGCTCTTTAATAAAGAACTTTCTGTATTTTTCATAAATTTTCTCTTCTGATGGACTCTGACATGGATAAATTAGATTGTATACACATATATAGTGCACTTTATATGAGGACAGAGAGCATCCAATTGACTCTCAAAACTTTGATGGATCAAGTTGTAGTAACTAGATTAGACTTATCGAGAAATCATCGCTGTAACGTTTCTTATTTGGTTTCTAATCTCTCTGATTATACTCTTTCATAGGTTTATCTATTGAAAATTTCTTTCTTATTTTGAAAATTCTTATTTTCATACAATCACAAAGGTAATCTTCTCATTCTTTCGTATGTAAGTATTAGAATAACTTCTAGTGTTTCTAACGGTATAGTACGCAAAAATTCGTCTCAGGTGAGAGTTGGATATGTTGTATCTTATCTAATATTGATGTTCTATTCAGTCAGACCCGCATCCAATGCCTACAACATCAAGATTTGAAAACAAGAAAGTCTGATTGAAAAGGTTTTGAAAAATAGTATTGAAAATGATGCTTTCATTGTTGATGTATGCTAACAGATTTTTCTCCAATAGCAGTACATTTGAGAGTTTTCAGGCTATAGACTTCGAATTCTGTAGAATTTCATAGAATTCCAGGACTTCGATCTTTCCCTCTTGGTATATCTCTTTCTTTCTCTCTCTCATGTTAGTGCTATTTTCTTTCCATTCATACATAAAGTATGAGCGACAAATCGACATATTTATTTTAAGTATCTTACGTAACTTTCCATTTGACAATGTAAATTTATCTTCAAATAACAAACATGTTCTTGACCTCAATGACATGTCATCAAGGAGTTCTTTTTCCTTTAAGATAAGAACTCTTTATTGATAGTTTCTCTTCCAAATAATGCAACTTCATTATCTACTACATTAAACAAGACATTTACAAGACTAAATTTAAAGTAAGTTTTGAAAATTGAAATCAATTCGAAAGGTTCACCTTTTTTTTCAATGTGACAGATCTTTATAAATTTTATTTATCATCTTCAAAAGAATTATTTCAGACGAAAACTATCTATATAATAGATCAATTTTGTATACTTCATGTTTTTATTTATTATCAAAAGATCAGTATACATAACAAATATCATATGAATTGTTTTTTATTAATTTGATATGGATTTAACTGAAGTATGCCAAATTTTCGATGACATAAAACAAAAACAAAGATAGTCAATAATTGAATACCACCAAGAACATAGAAATAAATATACAAAATTTCTTTACTATTTTGACACTAAAAAGAAAAATTCATGAATTCAAATATTAAAAATTTATTATTATTATACACTCACATCAAAGTCTAAGTTTTTAATAGTTATTGTCATTACTTTAACATATGCATCACCAATAAATGAAGATAATCCTAATGAACAAAACCGTAAACTCATGATAAGTGATTGAGCTGAACGTGGAGCAGCCATATAGGCAAATTCAAAACTAGCTACCATACCAAACACTTCAGATACACCCATGCATATATATTGTGGTAATTGTGTAAATATAGATAAATCAGAATTATTCTTGCCTAAAGTATGAAAGTAAATAAAGAACTCAAGATGATTATAACAAAATGAACAGATCAATCTTATCGAATACCAGGATGACATTCATGCTGTCGAAATTTTTCAATTGTACCAGCAATAAACATAGTTATCGATGCTAAAATCATACCGATGACAAATTTTATTTGTATCAAACTTGATTGATTGTAATTTACCAAATGTTTATAGACAAATAGATTGAGAATTAAAATACCAACTAGTTTAAATCATATTTATAGAGAAAAGTCTTTTCTTTTATATAAACTTACTAATGATCGACACTTGATCACCAACTGACATCCATATAACTGGCATCTTTGTTTGTGTTACATTTGAAATATATGGTATATACATATGTTCACCTTGTAGAAAAAATGTTGTTTGAATCTTAAAACAAAAAGAATACAATAACATAAGTAAAGTTATAATCAGAAAATCAAATAGTTTCTACTTGATAGTAAACAAGCCAATATGGCATTAGTAGAAGAAATACAACGATAACACGTCGAAGTGATCTGACATCATCAACAACTCGATCAATGAATTTACCATTGTTAGAGGCTCTAGCAAAGTCAAGAAATGAATATGAATATTCTTTGACTGTTATCAATTGATCTTCATGATTAGTAATAGACTCTTCTAAGAGATTCGTTGAAGAAGATTTTTTGAGAATATTAGTTGTTTCACTTTGAGCAACTTTATATTTTCGCCATGTTTGAAATGCATTTATGATAACAGGAATACATTTTGTAATTATTGTATCGTGTGGTTCAATATGAATATAAAATCGATAACCCAAAATAAATAATAAAAAAGCACCAACAAGTAATGAACCTGAAACAAGATATCCATGAAAAAATCGATTTGGATCACTTTGAGTAACTTGAATGTATGGAACGAGTAAAGTTGCAAAGATACCACCTATATTTATTGCTATAATATATTTATCAAAATATCGTGATGGTTTATTTGATTCTTGAACTTGTTCGGCTCCAAATACAGCCATATTAGCTTGTGTAGCACCAACACCAATAGCACTTAATACAGTAAAATACAACAAATCAAAAAAAACAACATCAAAATGAATATACTAACGTAAAAATGAGTGTACCTATAACTGGACCAGCACAATGTTCGTCTATTATTGAATCTATATTTGTTTCATTATTCTTAGATGAACTACGACAGAAAAATGCATGTGTCGTTGTATTTGAAATTAAGGAAACGATTGTATAACCAATTATATATACAAAGAATCCTATAAGAAAGATTCAATTAAATAATAGAAACTTCTTGAATAGTGTTGTTTTTTCAACTTACCAATAATTATTGTTCTAGCTCTACCTAATTTAGCATCACTTAAAACAGCAAATACAAGTGTTGATATATAGCTTGTACCTATTTTTTAAAATGAAAAATAACATTAAAAATTAGGATTTCATTCATATTGCTTGTCTATTCATTTGAGAAGGCACAAAGTGATTAGTCAAATATGAATTTTTGTTTTTGCATTCTCACGTTTCTATATGAAATATAAACAGTAAAAATTTGCAAATAAAAAAAGAATAATGTAGATCTCTCATCCAATTTAGTGATTAAATTCTATTAAACTTATAATTATAAGAGACGATAATAAATCTATCAAAAGCATGTCATCATAATAGTTTTTTAGTAACCAATTTGATTTTCAAATTTTTGTTTTTATTAACTAATATTTACCAAAAAAAATGAATGAAGCAGTTACACTATTTGCAGAATTCCAATCAAGTTCACTCAATTGTAAAGTAAAGATAAGATTAATCACTAATGAATAGAATGCAAGACGTTCCAAAGCAGTGCTGGCAAGAATAGAATATATTGCTAATAGTCGTTGATGTAATAGTCGAGTATCAGGCTCATCATAAGGAACACCGGATCTAGGAATTAACAAAGATGTTTCATTTGTATCCAGGTCATTCATTTACTCAAATTCTAGATTCACTATTTTTAATAATATTCTAAAACATAAAAACAAAAAGAACACAGATTCATATCTTCATATAGTGCAAAAAGAAAAAACAAAAGAGAGTCATTGTTTATAGCAAATATTATAGACAATGAAAAAGAATAATATTTGTTCATGTATCAGTAAAGATAAGAAATTGAAATGATAACCTCTTTTTAAAGTAAGCGATAGTCATCTTTACTCATCAACAGTAAACTTTGCTTTGTCAAACATCTATCATATAGCTATCGCATTGTTACGAAATATATGATACTAAATTCAAAGTCAAACGAACGTACATATGTAGGATAATTAAAGGAAATCATCTACTGTTGACTAAACCATCATGTAATCAATGAATGGTAGGAATTGTACAATTTCAATGAATCTTATCTCTTTTTTTCCTGATACGATTGAAGCACTGAGTAAGTTTTAGAACATTTAGTCAAGATAAATGGAATCACGTTAGGAAAATTACAGACACGAAGAGTGCTTTGATAATCATCATGATAAGTTTGATGAATACGTATGATGAATACAATGGGAAAAAAAGAATATCTGCTAAGTAAAGAAATAATTCGGAAAAGGTATAAATTTTAGGAAGATCTTGAAAACCAATAATTCTTACAATGTATGCTCGGAAAAAATTATTCATTTTTTTTTTGGATTTGATAATACATGAGAAAATAGTAAAATACTACATGTTGTATAAGTTTTCTTGTAATTTAATTGACTACATTTATTTAAGAAAATGATTCTTGAGAAATCATGTGATATTAACGAACAAAAATTCTTTCTACCACTTCGAGTTAAAACCGACTATCTTCTAATATTCAATATATAGTAGAGTAAATACTGATTAAATTTTCATACAGAGTTCATAAAACAAACTTAATCGTTCGAAGACTAGTAAACAGATCAATGCAAAAATTTTATACAAACGCCGATAAATGCGTGAACAATACAATGATGAAAAGATTTGTGAAGTCACTTGAAAAATGCTTTTCCTAACAGTTATTTCTTATTAATACAGCTAGTTTAGAATCAACAATCACCTTTGATAGAATAACTTTAGAATATTTGTCTTAACTCTCGAAAAGACTTGAGGAAAAACTTTCAAATTACACAAACCTAAAAAGAATTTCATATTTTGAACATTGTTTTCTGTCGACTATTTGTCAAAAAATGCTTTAATGTCTTTTTAACGGATTAGACTATGCAATACTTTTCTGGAGACTATTTTCAATCACATTCAAGTGGTGAACAATCCATGGTATTTTTCTAGAAAATATTGCCAATTCAATGTTAGAGAGCAATATTTCTTTAGAAATAATGATGAAGAAAAACTTTCTTTGTGGATTGGACGTTTGAAGTTCTGAATCGAGAAAAACTCCTCACACACATCTGATCATTATTAGTCACTCATTACAAAAAAATAATTAATTTATTAAATAGTATTTGTTTATTATTTTGCTAAAAAAATTTTTATTTTCTTTCTTGATCGACCAATGAATGAATAAGAAAAATAAATTTTTGTATTGTAAAATGTTATTGTTGTTATAATGTTAGTTTCAATCGTTAATATTGATGGATAGCACTGAGCATTTGAAAATTCATAATTTTGAATATTACCTAGACTTTTTCGTATAATTCTTCTAAAACGATCTTCAAGTATTCGAGGGGTCAAAGTTTCATGTAAATCAGTATTAGTCATATATTGTAGACAATAAATAATGTGTAGGTATTTTCTATAAAACTTCTGACATTTTTCTCGAGTTTCAATAGAATTTAATATATATATGATAGCGATGAAATTAAAATGAAGCCATATAAAAGCACAGAAAAATATGAGATTATTTTTGTTGATATTTGCAAATATTGGTGAATGCACTTTTCATTTTAATTAGTTGTTGTTTAATAAAAGTATTCAAAGTTAGTTAAGTTTAAATATCCTAGATATTTAAATTATTTAACTTGTGCTATTGGTATAGAATCGAAAAATAGATATTTCATTCTAGGTATTTATAATATTTCTTTCGAAATGTAAATATACTATTACAATAGTTAAATGTATGAGAACAAAAGTTTTGTCTATCATATTAGCACAATAATTGAATAGAATGGTTCAGCAGTTTCTCTTATATAAAAACTTGTTTCTAATCAATAAGATTTCTAGATACGCAATAGTTTTCTACGTCAATGCCATTCAAATTTTGATTGCGCACATTAATAAAACGAATGAGAAATAAACTCTTTTGAAGTGATGCATTGACATCGTGCAACATCATCGTACCCTGATCTGTGGGATAGGAAAAATGAAACAGAATGAGAGAAAGAAAAAGAATGTATGAGTCATAGCCAAATAGAAACTAGTCAACGCGTCATCCACGTCATCACATGAAGACGTGGCTCCGTATACACCCACCGAGTCGGAATGTATAGTATAAAAAACAAATACAATACTGTTTAACACAGTTATTCGACTTTTTCAATCTAGAGATGGACAATACTCAATCAACAATTGAACATATGTTAAACGAAGACAAACGACGAGATACATTTAAATTTTTAACTTCATTAACTGGTCTTAAGCTTAATCGAGAACAAGTAAATAAATAAATGAATGAATAAATAAATTTATTTATCTAATTATATTCATAATTTCATTTTATTAAGATTTTTGTTATTGGTGGTGGTCAACAATTTTCTCATCGTCATTCAATAACAACGAATTCCGCTGAACAACAAATGTCTAATGATACAAATAACACTAGTCTATCAATTCTTGATCTACCTGATGAAGTTTATCTTCATCTTTTTTCATTTCTTAGTCCAATAGATCTATGTCAAATATCAAATGTTTGTAAAAAATGGTATCGTCTTGGAACTGATGATAATGTTTGGCGTCAACGTCTTATACGTGATATGAAATTTTGGTCATCAATTAGTTCTCGTTCAAACCCATTGAGTTATATTCTTGTTCAATCAGATCGTTCACAAAAAGAAATTTATTTAACATGCTCACCAACAATACGTCGTCGTTCAATTCCAACAGATGACAGTTTTGTTTCGTTTAGTCAAATATCAAATTATCTACGCAGTTGGTTTAGTAGTTCAAAAGATTTAATTATGTTTGGACCTGGCTTAGAAAGTTATACATCTCCATTAGTCAAAAATCTTCTTTGGGATGAATCAAAACGTTTTCAAACAATGGGTATGATACCAGGACATGCTGGATTTGGTTCTGGTATTAAAATGAAATTACAGAATTATATGTTTAATTTAATAACATTATATACAAATTGTATGAAAGAACGTGAAAGTCGTACCAATGCAGATCGACTAATAACCAATAATCGTCTTGTTCATTCAAATAACATTGATCATTTTGAAATAAGTCCACAAGTACGTGATGTTTGTCGAGAAGCAAGTGGTCTTGTTTATGTTATTGATGCTTGTCGAGAAAATAAATTAAATGATTTTTGTACAGAATTACAAGTTATGACTAGAGAATTTAGTTATCTACCATTATTGATATTATCATGTATTAGAAATACAGAAACAAAACGGTGGTCAGCTATGGATGTTGTTCGTGATTTACAATTAAGTTCATTGGGTAATCAATGGTTGGTACAAGATTGTTGTGTTGATGATATGAATGGTGTTGAAGCAGGCTTTATTTGGTTACTTACACCAAAAAATAATAATCTCTTTTTTGATACAACAAACGAAACTGAATCGACCATGAACTGATTTTTTTTTTATGTAAAAAAAATATTTTTGTAAACAATGTAGAAAAGAATAAAATTTTGTTTTTCTTATTTCGAAAGAAATTTTATTTCTTTAATGATATGCGAAAGAATTCATAATCTCAAATGTATAAGTTTGGAAATAATCAAGGCATTGAATTTTAATTTTAATTTTTGTATATTTTTTCTTTCGGCACCAGAGTTGGACATGTCAAGTCACTTTTTGAGTCGACTTATTTTTGTCATTTTTTTTTCATTTTCTATGTATTTTTATAAAGAACATTAACAACAAGTTTTTCATGATACGGTATCTTGTTTCTAATTGTTATGGACAAAAACAAAATAAGAACAGACATACATGAAATAACATGACACAACTACCATAGGCCTTATTAAGAAATTAAGGACAGTAAAATAAACTTTTTTTTTCCATATAGTTCTACAAAACAGTAAAAACAATCTAAACTTAAACTTGTTTACACGCAATAAAAACTCTATTAACATTTGAAATTAACGTATTATTGAACTTCAAAGATGTTTGATTACAAAAATATGCTCATGACAAAATTTGAACAATAGAATTTCAAATAAGCTTTCCTATAATTTTGGTAAGAAAAATTGAATTCGAGATAAATGCATGAGAAGATAGCCTGAAGTCTGATCTTTCATAAACGATATGGTTCTTTTATTTATCACATTATGTTTTCCTGATACTTGTAATGATTTCTGTCACCTTCTGTTTGAAAAATAACATATGATGTAAAAATAATCGAACAAATGTCGGTTGCTGTTTCTCTTTCATAGAATGGTGCTGGAAGAAAAGTTTTTTTCCCAAAAGATAGAACTTTTTCTCCACTTTCGAATCGTATATAATTCATTTTTGTCACACGTTCATAAGCGGAATGACGCAACTGGAAAAAGAAACATCCTTAAAAAGAATCCGCACTTTTCGTGACATTCAGAAAACGGTGCAGGATGTTGTTTTTTATAACTCTTCGATAAACACGTTTTGAAACGAAGATTTTTTTATCAGTTGATAGAAAATTTTCTTCTCTTGCGAACAATATATGATTTATATTTGCCACATATTTCTAAATGAAATCAGACAAGCGAAAAAGAGAAACATCCGCGCAATAAATTTCTAATTTTTATATGAACTGATCAAAAACATATTGTTAAACGACAGTTAATTGTAACTAACTGTTGTCTACAAGATATTTTTAACGAATTCATATATAAATTATAAATTTATTGTAAAAGTATTTTTCTTTTTTCTTGTCTTGTTTAAATTACTAATATGTGACAAACATGAATCAGACACTGTTCGAAAGAGAAAAAACTTTCCTATCAATTGATAAAAAAAAATATTCTTTTCAGAACGTATTTATCGAAGAGATATAAGGATTGACGTTTTGTCCAGTCCTGTTATAGAGAAAAGTGCGGATTCATGTTAAGAATACTTCTCTTTTCTGTTGTGTCGTTTCGTTTATAAATATGTTATAAAAATAAATGATATACAGTTCGAAAGAGAAAAAAAGCTCTATCTTTTGATAAAGTGACTTTTCTTCCAGCACCCTTCTATCAAAAAAAAACAACGGCCGACATTTGTCGTTTTCATCATATGTTATGTTTTTTTCTTCAGACAAAACGGGAAATCTTTTTCACTTTTTTGATCGAGCAATCCACAATTCTCTGTGAGATTTCCTTCTATATATTTAATTTTCTTTTGTTTCAAAGAAAACTTCAAGATGCAAGGCATGACAGAGTTTCTTTTTTGAATGAAGTGTTGGTATTATTATGTAAAAGAGTACTTTTATGCGAAGAGCATCATTTTTTTGAGAGTTTTTCAAGAAATTGAACATGTCATCACTTTTCTCTCCTGACAAAGTAAGACTTTAAAAAATAAGGCTTTGTCATGGTCTGCATCGAAGCATATTCTTTCAAACGAAAAAAAAAACAATAAGTATATAGAATAAAATCCAACAAAGAATTTTGAATTGCCAAATAAGCTATTTTTGACCCTTGTTTGTTGAATATCTGCCGAAAACTTCATTTTCCAGTAAGATTATTAAGAGATTAATATGAATTTTTTTTCTGAAAAAAACGATTACCAGGTAAATTTTCTTCGTGCAGAAAATCATCAATTTCTTTTGAAACTAATACTGATATTGAATTATAAACTTTTGCTTTTTAGAATGAATGACTCGGACTTACCCAGATATGCTTAGAAGAAAATGTTTAGTTCGATAAGAAAATACAAAATAAAAGGATAGAAAAGAAAATATGCTTATTAAATATTTAGACGTCTTGTAATTCATAATCTGATATTCCGTTCACGTCTAATTATTTCTTCTATTTTAAAGACATTATATTATAAATTTGCTGTTTCTACAAGAACTGAAAAGTATGTCTTATTTTAAGTGGCGACAACAAATAAAAATAGAACTTGTTTTACTATCGTAACAATCAGTAAAATTAATTATGAGAAAGCATACTCATCAAAGTTTCAGATATCTCTCTTAATTATTTTCAAAAACAAACTTTGTATCACATTTATTGAATGTTTCATATACGAAAACAAAATAACCTCTACAGAGATCGACATATTACTACCTTTCTCGATTCATTACATTCACATCCGAATCATAAATTACTTTTGTCACCAAATTCTGAAAAGACTTTTTACATTAAATAATACTGATTAAACTCTATTCACACATTTTTCTATTAAAGATAAGAGCCCTTTTATCAAATTACTATGTCAAAATCTAGAGCAATGAACATATGTCAAGTAAAATTTCCTGTTTCAATGAATATTTCTATACTAAAAATAATACGAATTGAAATTCTAGTCATTATTTTTTCGAGGTTTTTCTTTTTCTTGACCATGAGCCATAATTCTTTTCATATATATGCCTCACTGTAAGATTTTTTCCTTGCAACAACAGAAAAAAAAACAGATCTTGACTTGCTAGCAAGATTCATGTAAATCAAGTCTTGTCTGCTAAGACAAGTTCTGTCTCTTTAGCAAGATTTGTGTAATTTAGGTGTAGTGTTTACTAGATGTCGACAAGACTATTTTCTTTCGTTGATATTTTGTTTTCATTTTTAACAGAAGACATTAAAAAAATAGCTATAACAACAACAGTGCTTGTATTTCCATATGCCTTTAGATAAATTGTAAATCGATAAAATAAAATTCATTAACACAATGATAAAAGAAAAAAAAGGCAATTTCATAGTCATGCTATAAATGTGATACTTTTAATCAAGAAAAAAACAAATAACAAAAAATAATCTATTCTATTAACATTAAAATGACACTTTTTATAATATTTCGTATTTTTCAGTTTAATCAGCTGAAATCGATAATGGTTCATTCACTGACAATATTGTCTATCTTGATAATGTTGTTTTTGAAAACTTTCTAAAATCAACTTGTTAGTGAGTTATCCGATATACTTATCTCATAGTGACATAAAATTCATACACATATTATCTGTATAGGACATTTTTTATTCATGCAATTGAACAAAACAATTATCAATTGTTATTTCGTCAGATTACAGCACATAGTCTCGAGTATTCGAGTACAAAATTTGAGATCAATCCATTGATGTGTTTACTTGTTATTGAAGATACAATCAGAGTATGTTGTTGTTTTTTTGCATCGTTCTAAATTTATCCAACCACTTATGTCTGCAAACTATTGAGAGTCTATTCTAAATGGTTATTTTCTTTATAATACACGATTTAATAGAATAAATTGCTCTCCACATAACGAGTACTTTCCTCGTAGTTTTCCTTCAAAGAAGGATTAAAAAATAATGCTTCTTTGACCCATATAAGATATTGTTAACAAAAAGGCGACAAAAGACTTTTTTTTTCATATGATGTATAGCCAGTTTTATTGTTTCATACATCAATAGAAAGAGTAAAAAGCTTACTATAGTCTCAGCAGTAACTTGCTATTTATAACTTAGCAAAACTATATAACTTAAGTGATATAATCGATTTTGAGTTCAAATATAGAATTTTTATTTAAAAACAAAAGTTCCCAAAACTCCATGCTATTAAAACAACTTTTTAATGTCTCATTCAATGCATAAATGAGACCGTACAGAAAAGCCTTTCTGTAATTGGGGTCTATATAAAGGGAACGATCAACATAACTTTCCACCATGAAATATCTATTCAAATAGAATATCAAATACAATTAGTAGTACTCTTGCTACTGATATATTAAACAATAAAACTGGCTATACATCATATGAAAAAAAGTCTTGTGTCGCCTTTGTGTTAACAATAAGAGGTATGGATCAAAGAAGTATTGCGTTTTAATCCTCGCTCTAAAGTAAGCTACGAGAAAAAGTACTCGTTATGTAGAGTGCAATTTACTCTATTAAATCATGTATCATAGAGAAACTCTTAACCTTGAACGGACGCGCAACAGTGTATAAACGTAAGTGGTTGAATGATTTTAAAAGGAAAAAAACAACAACATGCTCTCTTTGTATCGTCAATAAAAACTAAACAGATGAGCGGATTCGTGTGAAATTTTGAACTAGAATACTAAAAGCTATGAGCTGTAATGTGATGAAAACCAGATTGCTGTAGCTCACTTAGCTTTTGAGACATGCACAAAATGAAATAATCTATTGGTTGGATGATTTTGACGGCTACTGTTTATATACATGTATATATAGAAATCACGTGATATTTGTCTTGAAGATCAAATAAGAATCTTTGGAACGAAAAGAATAAGATCATTGTCTGAACTTCAAGGTATAAAAGATTTTTGAATTGATCAAATAAGCAAAAACAAAAATCTGAAAAGAATAGTTTCAAGAACGTCAATAAGTATACAAATTGAAAGTACTTAAAATTTCCTGAAAGATTTCATAATTTCATTATCTTATAAGATTCAATATGTAATTTTCGCCAAGTAGAGTATTAATTTCATAAGAAAAAGAATTGCTAGAACACAACACTCACGAATATTCCTCATGTTTTGAATAGATGAAAGTAACTTGTGAGGCTTTGAGCTTCATTGATATAAAAAACAAAAGATTTCATCAAACGTTGAATCGTATTACCTATTACCGGAACATCAAAGTTGCAATGGCTTTATTTTCCGGTTTAAAAAAAAAAACCTTTTTTCTTTATTCAAGTCATTCATTACAAAACGAAAAAGTATTTGATTATCAAACAAGAGAAGAAAATATCATTTCGTTTTTTTTTTTATTGAAATTAAATTTTTGAATATTTTTTTTTTTTGTATCTACATAAGAAGGATTATACACAAAAGGAAAATAATTAATAAATAAAAAGACTCTAATTGCTATTTTAAATCAATAAAATCTTCATCTTGTTCATTCTGACTGATAATTAATTGGTGTTTTATTGATTCATCTTGTTCTTTTTTTAATGTTCGTAAAGCATGTTTTAAAACATAAGCAACAATTTCAGCTGATAAATCTTGATAAACTAAGTCTTCCATATTATTTATTGAAATACGTCGTGGTTTTATTGTTTCATGAAAATCTTGTTCAAAATCATCATCATCATCATCTTTATATGATAATTTATCTGTTGATGCTAGTTTAGTTGCTGCTGTTGCATCAATACTTGCCGTTAATATTTTATCAGCAAGTACATGAGCATTTCGAACAATTTCATTTCGATCATCAATTGAATATTGAGTATAACTATCACTATCACTATCATTATCAGTTTCAATATTTTCAGCAAATGAAACACTTTTTTGACGTAAACGATGTTTTCGAGATTGTCTATTTGATGAAATATTTACAGATAAGTTTTCATTTTCTTTTAATGAATTTTTTTTTTCAACATTTGTTGGATTTTCTGGTGCTCGTCGTTTTGTTGATGGTGATAAAGAATTTTTCACTTTATCAAATAAAGATTTAAATGAATTACTTGTATCAATATCGATTATTTCAAGTGGTGATGATGATGACGACGATTCTTGATGTATACGATTTGATGATAATAATGTTGATTCGTGATCATTTGGAACACGACATTCAGAAGTTGGACGACTTAAATCACGTTTAAATGCTAGTAACGGACGTGCTAAAACAAAAAAAAATATATTTATATGTTTATTATTCAGTTGGTAGAAGAATAACTTTTTTTTCCCTCCTGCTCATATTTTATTATAAAGTAAAAGAGTAATTAAATTAATGGTACGACTCATTAAACGAAAGCAACAAGTTTGACATTTCAGTTTTTGCTTTCTACAAGATCTCAATTAACCGTAACTATAATATGTCCTCTTTTTTGTTTTTTTCTATATCAAAATTTATAATAATCCGATGATGAATGATGACAAAAGAAAAAACAAGGTAATTATATCAAAGATGAACATTGGTTAGAGCTAGCAGTGATTTCTTTTTTTTGATTTTGCTTTCAATAGAGAGATTACAGTTGATATAATGTAAATTTATTTTAATAACCTAGTTATTTTTGTGGAGTAGAAGTTATTGAAAACACTTAACATTGATATGAAAATCTAATTTTCAATAGATATAAACACTGAGAGGAAAAAAAGAAGTTTTTCTTTTAAATATTTTTTATAAATAAAAATAAATAATCTTACCAATACGTTGTTCAAAAGCATCGTGAACAGCATTACTATATGATTTAAGTTGACCAAATAGACTATTTTTCAATGTGTCACCCGGTGAGGCCATTAAGATTTAGAATGAATATGTAAGACTACGCTAGAATACAAAAAAACAGCGAAGAATAAAAAAAAAAAGAGACAACGAGAGAGTATGTGTGAGAGAGAAAACAGGAAAACCCATATCATAAGCATTTATTGCTTGTGTTTCTCTTATTTTTTGTCTTTTCATCGTTTCGAGTCTCTAGATTTAACATCAGCATCTTCTTGCTATGAGTTTCTTATTGCTATTGTTTTTTTCTTTTGCATATCCTTTCTTCTCTTTCCTCATGTGCTCAATTCTTTATTGAAGCAAGTTACAGAAAAAAAACAACAGCACAGAGATCTATAGCTATTTACAATGAACATGAATGCGTCTTCTTTTATGTTTTCAGTTTTTTTTTTGTCATTCTCATGTTATTATGACAAGGTCAATTTTCGAATAAAATTAATCTAGACAGAACATGAACATGAACCATACAATTTTCGTGAATTCTTTTCTTTTGAACAAAAACAAACGTACAAATAAATGCAAATATGAATATAAAATAGTGTCAAACTATTCAGTGAATAGATAGCATAAATACAATAATTTGTCTGATTAACCTATAGAAAATTCATGAGATATTGTGTTCTAACGCATTAACTATATAACATGTTGTTCTTTTTTCTCAATGCATTTCTATATTTACCAGTGAACGACCGACAACATTTATTTCTTTTCCGAACAACGTTGTTGCCTTGTCGGAAATTCTCATCAACATCATATTTATGAAAGAAGAAAACTGAGAACGTTCGTAGAAACAGTTTGACGAGGGCAACCAAAAGGAAAAGCGAATCCTAGTAAAATAAGTCTTTCTTTTTCCAATTTTATGCTCTATGCTACATAGAAGGCAACGCAATAATGTCGATCACAGTATTTTAACGATCGTTGTTCATCTTCTTTCAGTTGAAAAGATCGAACGTAGAGCAAAAGCTCATTTTCTTTTCTTTTTCTATCCCTTCTGCCTTTGTCTCTATTGCTATGCCCATGCCGGGTCTGAATAATAAATGGAAACAATAATAATAAGAAGAAAAAAAAGACGTGATGTCGCAATTCTCTATTACGGTTATTCCCACTAATACGATCAGGAATGTCATTTGCAGACTACAAAAATCTCATGAGCTCTTTTAACTGTTGACAACATACATATACGCACTGATGATTCTGAAGAAGAAATAGTATTAGGAATAGAACTCAAATGATACATGTATATTTATTGATTAATATGATGAAAAAACGAACTATTGATTTATGAATCCTTGAACTGACATGACTGAAATCCAATTGACAATTTTGACTTCCAGTCGATTTTTATCAAGTTAGATATGAAGAATTGAATAAGCATAACTAGTCATGAACCAACACATTCTGATGAGACGATATAAATATTAAAAGATGTTATTTGCTAGTTTTAATGATTATTCTATGCATCTTTAAATACCTTTCTATGCGTCATCTAATGAAAAATTCATTCGATAAGATAGAAAAAATGTTAATAAATAGTTTTATTATATATTGAAAAAAAATTATTAAATTTAACATGATGAATCAATTTTATTGAGTTCTATTGACAAAAAAAAAACAAAATGTTAACGCATCACTTTTCGAAAATGTAATTCATTAGCCATTTGTAATGCTGCACATAATGGACAACATTCAGCAACACAAAAATCACAGAAATACGAGCCCTAAAAGCAAATATATATAAGTTACATATTAATAATTTAATTTTTTTTCTTGATCAATACTTCTATACGAAATGCTGTTCTAATTTTGGTTCTTAAAATAGATAAAGAACCAGGTACACAACAAGTTATCCAGCATGATTCATTCATACGCCAAGTTAGATGACAAATAAAACAAGGATAACACCATATACCATAACATGTTTCATCACATTGTTTTGTACAACTACACAAACCATGTGACCAAGGATATTCAAAATCCCATGGATTATATTGAAAATTGGAAGTTGGTTGTTGTTGTTGTATATTACTATAGGGTTTTTTTTCATGATCATTCGTTGATAATGAATATGGAGGATTAACACGTGATGGCATGTAGAATCACTACAACAGCAAAAAAGAAAAATAAGAAGAAAATTGAAATCGAATGTTTAAATGTAGGCGTTTGATGATGATTTAACTGTTCTACTAGTGTCTACACAAATACTTGTTTTCATTATTGACATATGATGATAAGTGTTTTATTATGTTTAAAATGTTTTGTTTTATTGTTGCTTTTCTTCTGAAATAAAAATTATGTTGTTCTTGATTTCTTTTCTGTTTACACTTTCGTTCATGTTTCAGGGTGTTTTTACATATATGTAAAAAGAAAAAAGATTATTGATATAAATGAACAAATGTAGACCATAATTTTTTTCAAATTATTTCTCAAAAGAAAAAAAGAACGGAAGTATTATCGTTTCAACATGAGTCTTTAATGTAATTAGTTTGATCTTTTGATACCTATTCAAATAATCTATGCTTCATTTTATCTTACTTTTTGTTAGCAAAAACGTGTGAATTTCTATTCATATAAAAACAAGATGATACAACAGTTGAATCGTCAACTATTGGATTAATAATTTTATTTGTTTTTCTCTAATGGAATATTTTGCACGTTAAAATAAAAGAGAGCACGAAAGAATATGAAAGTTTCTTAGTAACGACGTCGTGGATACATATATTGATTATGTTGATATTGATGTTGTTGTCCTTGATAATAAGGTGAATCTGAATAAAAGACAAAGAAGTATGTAAGAAAAGGCTTGAAGCTAAGTACTTACAGTTTGCCATTTGATTGCTAGCAAGAAACATACGCATTTCGTTCGGATCAACACGACCATCATGATTTAAATCAGCATATTGAAAGTCAGAGAAATCAGCCAATTCTCGTCGATCTAAAAAACCATCATGATTTTGATCAGCTATTCGAAAAGCTTGTGCCGCATTTCTTGGAGGAACATAAAGATTTGGTGCTACAAAATAAAAATTTTCGATATATTTGATAAAACCATAATTTGACTTACCAGCTATGTTTGCGAATTCACCATAACTAATACGTCCATCTTGATTACGATCAGCATTTTGAAAATCAAGAAAATTTCGAAATTCATGTCGATCTAATACTCCATCTCGATTTCTATCCGATTGAACAAAAGCAGCTTGTAATGAATTAGAATAATACGCCATTGGTATACGTAGGAGTAATGTATTATGAAGGATTAATGGTTAAGTATATTTTTTTTCGATATATTTATATATATATATATATATATATAGCGAATATGACATCAATACATTTTTATTGCTCATCAGAAAATTTCACCTAAACAATAGACCCAATATTGGAGAATATTACTAATTCGATGATTTATATTGATCATCCTGTCATTAAATTAGTAATATTTTACTAATTACGTATCGTTGATGTGCATGATAGATCACCACTAGATATAATGCAACCCATTTACATTAGTCACCTTAAAAATACAGTAAGGTTGTATGAAACCGATTTATTCAATATATTCGCTGATATATTAACTATGTTATTGGGAGATTTTTAGGAAACATGATTGAAAAAAGTGTTGAAGTATAGGGGTGAAAATTTGGAAATATCACAGAACATATATGAACTACTTCTACATCACACTGCTAGAGAATAAAGTAAAAGAATAATGAAGAAATATGTCCTCAAATAGATAGAATAAAATCATATGTCTGTAATTAGCAACAGCAACTACATCGTATTTTATATTTTAATCCCACAGGGATTGTGATAACAGCTTTTTAGTATTGTTCAATTGATGTATAGGATAATAAAGAATTTTTAATTATGATCGCACTTATAACAAAGTAAGAAGATCTATTAATTATCATTGGTATTACATTGTAAACAACACGCATCGGTAAATCCCCAGAGAAAAAATTAATTTATAATTTTTCCGAGCTCTAATTTAATATTCATAAGGAAATTGAACAAAGAAATTATAAGAAAAAGACTCATGTACAAAGTTTTTTGTGCTTAATTGTTCTTTCAAATCATAGAACAATCGTGATTGTTTATTGAAGCGCTATTTTCTTGTTTTTTTACGTAATATATCTTTCAATCGTCTAGTACATAATTTAGTTGAATCAAAAACAAAAAGAAAATTTTTCTTGATTTGATTTTGTATTTATGTCAATTGGGATTTTAATAAGGCCTCACTTTTATAGCAACTAATAGGAAAAATTTCTCTTTGTATTATCAATGAATTTCATTCTTTTTAGCGTGATATTCAAACTTATTAAAATATCAATAACATCTCTTTGTTTCGATTAATCTATAATGTTAATAATCATTTAATTTGTTTAATAGTCAAGAAGAAATTAATATTCTCAAATAGTGTTTTATATCGATGATTAATTTTGTGGAATTTTCGATCTTTGATTATATACGATGATCATCATCAGCACGATGAAGCATGTACTCAGATCGTTTAAATCCTTGTTGTCTAAATGAAGAAAAATGTCTTTATCTGCTAGGCTACGTGATACAACACTTCTTTTTGTCTGCAGAAGATTGAATTAGAGAAATGATATTAGAGAAAGTCAGGAACAATTTCGGCAACGTCTTTAGACTACGTGCTACAGGCAATAAAAATATGCACAAACTCAATGACTTTGAGTTGTTTTTCAGTTTCCTTTCAATCTCCTATTAAGACAAGCCCTCGATTGAATTATTTCTAGTCTGGTTATCAAAGACAGACATCCGTCTATATTTATGGTATGACAATTTATTTATATTGCTCATACTCGATGAGATAAGTTTGAAATATTTAAATTTTCTCATTAAGTTTGGATGCACGACTTTAGGAAGGTTGAATAAAATATTTCTAATCTTTAGAAATATCAATATCGATAAGAATAATGCATAAACAAATATTCTAAATCTAATAGTAACTTTTTGGCGATGAACTTACTTGTGGAATAAAAAAAAATAAGAAATTTATTGTTAATACGGTATACTTTGAAAATTATTGACAATCATAATTCTTGCATTTCGACTTGATTTAAAGATACAATATTTTTATCAATGGCACTTATGTCAGAACACAATAAATATTGAGAAGGCCTATTTTACTTTCGTCGTCAATGGGTTAATATGAAAACATCATTAACAATAATGGATGTCTCAGGAGAGATTGCACTTAATCTGAGTGTATTTTTCTCTCGATTCTCAATCATAAAAAAACTCCCCTTGTGTGCCTAAATATAAAGAATTTTAAGGTCCAAAAAATTTTCGTCTGTTTCTCAAACAACTTCTTCTTATCGACACAAAATTTAGATGAAGAACATCTACTTAGTCATCCAACTACGACTATCACGATAACAAAAAAACCGATAACAACTTTTTAATGACAATACGGCTAAAAGTTCAACTATCTCACAAAGTTTTTCGTAAAATTCTATAACTTTAAATGATTGTTTTAGAATTTCAAAAAAAAAATATATTTGGAAAAAAAACAGGTTTCGAAATAGAAAATATGAAAAGTTCTTTTCTGATAGACCTATGACATTCTTGTTTTCTTTTTTATTCGAAACGATTTAAATATTTTCAATGTTCAATTTAATTTTTACAGTTTTGTTCAGATATTCAATTCTACATCTGATAACATAATAGCAAATCTTTTATATGACTAAGAAATTATCGACAGTTGCCAGTTCTAGATTTTTTCTAGTAAACATAAGTCTCGAGAGACTTGTCACGGTTATGAAAGCATAGAACACAGCTTTTTCCATCTATTTTTATGAAGTAATTTACTTTTGGCATCGGCATTGACGAGCAAATGCTTTACAAAAATCAATAAACGACAGCAGAGAATAGGAAATTATAGTTAAATGACTGAATATACGTGACTCTTTTAAATTTGGCGTCAATAAAGCTAAAATTGCTTGAATAACAAAGTCGATAGTTTCGTACAGCTTGAAGTTATATAAGAAAAACTGTTTATGCTTTTGAAGTAAGAAAAAAAAGGCACCGAGATTTAGTACAATTTATTCTGGAATATCTATCAATAATAAGACTTAAACTGTACTTGGAATTGGATTGGTCGATTTCTTCAATGCGTTTTTGGGGTGCTACAGTTGGCCTACTTTACTGGTTTTCATGCTTTTAATGGTCAAGAGATATCAGTCTGAAAGTCTCCAACTGACAAATTTTCAGGTGTTGTTGTAAAAATTCAACTCTAAACATTAAACTAACACTTTCTTATTGTAGGATGAGAACCTCTGATGATGCTTAATGAATTTATTATGTTCATGAAAAGTTAATCAGGTATTAGACATTAATTTTCGGTCTAAGCTAAAGATGTTTTGCATCAAAATTTCGAGCTCACTTTTCTAGACCAATTTTAACTACCCAGTCAGACAAAAATTTTGAAAAACGCGTTTAAACGCACAATCGGGAACCGCGATTGTAAGCCATTAACGCTCATTAAAAGAACGCATGAAAACGCGTTTATTGGCGTTTTTTGTAACTTTTTGGGCGTTAAAACGGCAAAAACTCCAATTTTGGAGCGTTAAAACGTATTATTTTTAAGTTCTAGAATAATAGTGCGTTTTAACGCTCAAAAACGGGAATTGTCGCCGTTTTAACGCCCATGAAGTTATAAAAAACGCCAATCAACGCGTTTTCGTGTGTTTTTTTAATGAGCGTTAATGACTTACAATCGCGGTTCCCGATTNAAAACTCCAATTTTGGAGCGTTAAAACGTATTATTTTTAAGTTCTAGAATAATAGTGCGTTTTAACGCTCAAAAACGGGAATTGTCGCCGTTTTAACGCCCATGAAGTTATAAAAAACGCCAATAAACGCGTTTTCGTGTGTTTTTTTAATGAGCGTTAATGACTTACAATCGCGGTTCCCGATTGTGCGTTTAAACGCGTTTTTCAAAATTTTTGTCTGACTGGGTAACTCTCAGAGTTTTCAGTTCATACTTTCATTACCAAATATCAGAATGTGATTCTGTTCTATTGTCAAAATCTTGCCAATTACTAGTATAATGTAACTATGAAAATATTTAGATATTTGAAGAAACCTTCAAATAGGAAGTCTAATATAAAAACCGTACTATCTTTCTAACGGTAATAGTATTCTTTTACAAATTGAGATACTTTTCAGCTGCGTTAAAAAAATTATTTTCAATTAGAATAGATTAAACTCCTCAATTCTAAATAAATCATATCATTATTGAAAAAAGTCAGCCAAAGCACAAAATAGATGTCAGCTGCTGTAAGTTACTAGATGAAGCGTTTGGAAAGAAATCTTCGTTGGTTCTTAATGTTAGCATATTTGAACCATGACAGACTAAAATAGGAGTTGTTACCATTAGAAACTCAAAGAGTTATATGAGTTTTACACCGTACATCTTTGTAGAACTTATGTAATAGACTATTTATCGAAAGAACTGATTGGTTAATTGATATAATAAACATATCGGGGTTTTTTGCCGGTTAAGTCAAGAATTTCAACCGGCTGGTCAAAACGAATCCAATCGGTTCCAAGTATGACCTAAACTATAAACATCAATAATCAACAGTTTTCATAAAATCAATCATCAATGTAGAACAATATTTGAAACCGCTAATTTTTTTTTTTTGTTTCTTTCATAAAATTCTTAATATGCAATATTAATGTTTCATGTTTCTTAAAGAAGAGGTATAGTCGATTTCCAAATTAACAAATAATAATTATTTAAATATCTATGGAAATCGCGCATATTCGTTATTTTATTAATGCTGTTAATAGCTTCTTTTGCTCGAATTTACTTCACAATTGAAGATAGAAGACAAATAGAAAAAAAAAACCACGCTTTTTTTTAAAAATCATTTTGTTGACTGCTAATGTTTTTCATCTTTCAAAAAAAAAGAAAAAAAATACGTCGACGATTCTTGGTTGTTTTTACTTGTGATACAGATAGTAATAGGGAAAAAGTGAAAAAAAAAAAGAAAGAAAGAAAGAAATTTAACAACAACAAGAAAAGATAAATGAAGAAACCTATCGATGGACTTTTTTCGCACGCGTAAATATTTCATCATCGAATCGTTTCATCTACACTCACACGTCGAAAAGAAAAGAAAAAAGAATGACAGAGACAAACAAAAAGGAAAAAAAAAAGTTGAGAAAAATAATAATAACATTTTTTTTTTGAGTGTCTTTCTCTAAAGAATTGCGCAATTTTGTTTTTTCACAAGTCTTCATCATCGTCGGGTAATGCTGCAATTGCAGCATCTGCTATTTCGGCTTCGTATTTCTTGATTGTTTCATTATCCATTTGTACTTCAGCTGGCTAAAATATTAAAAAAAAATTTAAATACATTAAAAAAAAAAAAACTAAGAAATTTTATTTTAAATAAAATCTTACCATAAGAGCAGGCATAGCAGTAAATTCGAGATTAGCATCACCAGCTAATTTACGTGCTAACCAAAGAAATGGTTTTTCAAAATTATAATTTGATCGTGCACTAATATCATAATATTGCATATTATTTTTACGATGAAATGTAATAGCTTTAGCCTTGACTTTACGATCTTTGACGTCCACTTTATTACCACATAGTACAATTGGAATATTTTCACATACACGAATTAAATCCTTATGCCAATTCGGTACATTTTTATATGTTATACGTGACGTCACATCAAACATGATAATAGCACATTGACCACCAATATAATAACCATCTCGAAGACCTTAATTGAATATAATTAAACATAATTATATAATAATAATTTATTTTCTCTCTTACCACCAAATTTTTCTTGACCAGCGGTGTCCCATACATTGTAGATAATTAAACCACGATTTGTTTGAAATTGAAGTGGATGAACTTCGACACCGACTGTAGCATTATATTTTTTTTCAAATTCACCAGTTAAATGTCGTTTAACAAATGTTGTTTTTCCTATTTAAAATAAAATAACAATAAATATTAGTTAATTTCGATTTTTTTTGTATTTATTTAAATTACATACCAACACCACCATCACCAACTAATACAAGTTTGAATTCAGGTGCTTGTTGAGCCATAATTCTTGTTCGAATTGATTCTAATAAAATGAAGAGAAAGTATGTGTGAGTGGCTTGTGATGATCTACAGAAGAAACAAAGAGAATGAAGTTGAATTATTGCACTGAAAAAATGAAATAACAATTATTTATCTGTATTCTTGCGTAATATTATAAAATAACAAATAAGAAACTGTCAGAAGATTGAAAAATATTTGTCTGTCATATACACAGTATCCGTACAGGTCTGTGGGAGATCATCATACAGTCTCTTTGTTTTAAAGAAAAAAACTAGACGTTTCTCGCTGTCTATTAAGATAATGAATGAATGCACTTATATTACGAAAAGACAACAAAGTACAAAGACATCCATATTTTCCCATTCAATGAATGATTCATAAATTTCCTTTCTTCTTATTATGCTTATTGTGTTCTACTACCTCAGTCGCGATGTTTGTGCCAGCAACAAAAAACAAAAGATGTCGCCAGTTTGACATCAAACATCTTTGCCCAGCAAAGTTTAATAAAAAAACAAAAAAAAAAAAGACGAAAAGAAGAAACAGAGAAAGCGCGCACACAACGCCGAAGAAAAGTCTGCCTAATATATACAAAAAAAAAGTAAGTTCGTTGATACAAAAAAAAAAAGAAGAAAAAAAGTAGAAGAGACGCACGCACACACAAAGGATAGTATTTTCATGCACACACACACACAAAATAACGGTTTTTTTTTTCTCTCTCTCTCTCAGAGTTAATGTGAACAAGAAAAAGCAACAAAGTTATGTTTAATCTTCTGAAACTAAAACACGAAAAAAAAGAAGCGAGTCGAAGTAAAGAAATTCTATTTACAATAAAAACTACAGACAAAAAAAACCGAAGTGCTTATCAGCCGTATAGAAAGAGATATTTTGTTATGTTCACTGGTGAAAAAGAGAGAGTTAGAAGAAAAAAAAAACGAAACGATTCACACGGGTTCTCGAAAAAGAAAAAAAGAAAAGAAAAATCGAAAAAGAAAGAAAAAAAAAATATATATATATATTTAAATAATTGTGCAACACACTCGATTTTTCTCTGATGTATGTTGATGAGGTTTCCGTGTATCTTCAATATTAATTATACTATCCGTATTAGATTTTTGTTGTTGTTGATGTTTAAGTAATGAATATTTAAGTGTTGATAATACTGAATGTTGTGATGATGTTGCTGATGACAACATTGGATTAATATGACCATTTGGTTGGTTTATATTATCTGTTGTTGGTACAATAACATTAGATTTAGTTAAACCATTACTTGATTTTTTTCCTGCGGGTGATTTTATATTTATATTTGATGATGATATTAATGGTGGTGATATATCTTCTTCAACAATAATTGGTGTTTGTATATGTTCATGATGTGATGGTGTTTGTTGTAAACGTTGATGTTCAATTATAGTTTTAATTGCATCTGTTGTATCATGATGTTGAGTTTGTTGTAATAAACGTACAACAGGTGGTGCATCAGTTTTTGTAAATACAGTTGATTCACGTGGTGTTGAATAACGTATTGATGTTCGAGATGCTATGGACATTTGTGATGGATTAGCAAGACGATGTTCAGTTGATAAACTACGTGCACGATCATTCATTAATGTTAAACTTGTTGTTGCTGATATTTCATTATTTATTTGTTCATCATTTGTACCATTTAATATTAAACGATTATTTGATGCTATTGAACCAGCACGTGAAAAACTTCGACGTTTTGTATTTTCACTTATATTACTATTTGAAATCATCTGTTGTTGTTGATTGGTTCCATCACCTAGCAAAAGAAGAAAAAACAAAATTTGTTCATTATGATTTATTCATTTCGAAGAAGGTTGTTGTTTTCTTTTATTCATACCAGTTAAAGCTTCAACAGATTCTTGAAATGAACTTGGTCGTGTTGGTGAACGTCCAGGTTGTTTACGATTTGATGAACGATTTAGATCATTAGTAGTTCCATTATCTTCACTATCAGAATTAGAACGACTACGAGAAAAATTTCGACGTTTAGTTTCAACAACCGAACGTAAATCTTTTGAACGAAGTACACCACTTGTTATTGTTGAACTATCAACAGTTGTTGAACCAACATGACTAATAAATATAGTTGTATTTGGTGTTGAAAGATTATCATCATCTTCAATATCTTCATTATCCTCTTCTTCTGTAATAATAAAAACCAAAAAAAAAAACATATTATATTTAAAAAAAGAAAAGAAAGAATAATAATTTCTATCGTACCACTTTCAACTATTTTATTCAGTTTTGAAAGATTTCCTAATTGTTGAATTCCTGCAGCAGTTTGACTAAAAAAAAGGTGTGAAAATATTATTATTGTGATTATTAAAATTGAAAAAAAATTTTTTACTCAGTTGGTGGTGATTCAGAATTTTCATCTTCTTCAAGAATAATTCTCATAGCTTGAGTTGGTGTTGGTGTAGTTGGATTTGTTGAACGTTGTTGCAATGATGGTCGTTCTTCATCATCTTCAAGTACAGCTAAAAGAAAATTATGTTTAATAATTATAAAATAGAAAAATAATAAGAAAAAAAAGTAAAAAGAAGTTTGTTTGTTTTTTATAATCATCAATTCAATACTATGAACATATTAATAAGTTGAATTGTGCTATAAACTTACTGAACATTACAAAAGTTCAGACGAAAGAAAATTAAGAATAATTACCATCTAAGTTTCATATAGTTTTTTTTTTTCGATAGATACTTTCCAAGATCGATCATTCTGATAATCAGAAGCAGCGTATTACGGCATTCATTTTCACCGTTTTATATTGTTTACGGATCCGTTCTTTTTGACCTTGGTTTCTAGTAGATAAAAATACTTGTCAATACTTCTTGACCTATTAATTAACTAAACGATATTCTTCACTTCATGAACTTCAAGTTAATTGACTTTTTTATGCATGCACATAGAAAAAAGAGTATATCGACAAAATATTAGATTGACCGGCATTTCCAAAGAACATGACGTAGCAGGAAAGAGTGTAACCAGAAAAAATTGTCAAGGACGGAAGATGGAAGGGGGGGGTAAAACCGAGACGTGCCGTCACTTGTATTGCCATCGCCTGATTTCTTCTAATTTTCGAGTCGTTCCCGCTTTGTGCTCTCTTGTTTTATTACTTTTTGCGCTCGTTATTCAGATGCACTTGTTTAATTGACACTAGAGTAAAGTTTATATAGTGCGTTGTAGTTATATGCTTGTGAGTCTGTGAATTGTGGAATTGAACTTGGGTCTGAGTGTTATTAGGTATACAGCATATATTTACTTTTCTCTATAATACAAACTATCAAGAAAATATTTATAGATTTTATTGATATTGATTATCTGATAGCAAGCTTGTTGGACATCTAGGCATTTCATCAGGGAGACTCAATTTCTTCCTGACTAAGTTTGCCAATGTGAAACGAAGATTTTCTAGTAATGATTCTAGAAGTGCCTGAAGTGCTTTTGTAAACGGCACTCAACTGTTTGTAGTGGAGAGAGAACGGTTAAGCTCGAAAAAAACCTTTTAAATAAATCCATTGAACTATTTATAATTGGCTTCCATTGAGACTTTCGTATTTCAATTGTACTTCGAAAGAATATTTTATGTGAATATCATAATTAATAAAAATAGTTTATGAATCATTTCAGATACATTAGAATACATTTTTAAAATCATAAAATCATGTTGTATAGTAAGAAAAGCATTTTATAACTATTTAATAACAATACACCATCATCAAAACAAAGTTGAAAATGAACTTTATTATGTTCACTAGATTCTGAATAAAATTGTGCAACTAAGAAAATTCTTTTCTCTATCTGTGTGATTTAATAAATTAAAAATTTTCTTTTCTAACTAAAATCATTCGTATAAAATTCATCAATCAAAGAATTATTCTTTTAATGATAAAATCTTATATAAATATGATAGTTGTTTTTACCTGGTAAAGTTTGTTCACTTGAAGAATCAATTGAATGTCGTGGTGTTGTCAATACTGGTGGTATATTTTCTTTCCCCGCACTAAATATTAACAAATAAATATATATTAACTAAAATCTAATTTCAGTGATAGATATAAGCATTAAAAAAAGAAAGGAAATGAAACAATAGATTTTCTCATTCCCCAAAGTTGAATTAAAAGCAACCATCCCTTATACTATAATTATCATCTTACAAATTTAAATTCTCTAAATCATTAATATCCATATTCTCATCTGTAAGTGAGCTTTGTCTTGTAACAGGTAAGGATACATCAGCGAAACAAAAACTAAACAAACAAAAGAATCATATCTCTTCTACAATGACTAACGTAATTGACAAATTTGATTCTTTATTCTATATATATACATAAACCGAAATCATTGTTTTTAAATAATAATATTTTCAAATGAAATCAAAACTTACTTTGATGATGCGGATGACATAAAAACTCCAATTTGCTCTGTAAATGGATCACTAGCTGGTTGTAAACGTCGTTGTCGTTTTGCATTGCGTTCATTATCATCGGTTTTTTCATATAGACGATCATTTAAAATTTTTTCTGCCAGCAAATAATATGTTGCTGTTATATGATTATATTGATCTTCATTTAATGCGCTAAAGCACGAAAAAAAAAAAAAAACAATGAAATAAAAAAAAAAAAAAATCAAGATTATTAAGTTTACTGTAAAATTGCATCACGTTCAGCTATATTTCCCTCGGACATTTGTTGAAGAATTGATTCATGATCATCTTGTGATATTGTTTTATGTGATATTAATGGTAATGAATCAACATAATGTTGATCTTCAACATCATCATTATCATCGTCACATTGACGATACCATATATCAGACATAACTTCATCTAATGTTGAACGTTTTTCAGGTTCACGTACAATCATTCGATGAATTAAACTAAAATAAACACTTAGAAAAACAAAAAATAAATCTTTTTTTTAATTCAATACTTTTGACATTCTGATGAAATATGTGGTGGAAGTTTATAACAACAATCTAAAATCATCATTACTGTTTCGGAATCATTAGCTTCTTGGAATGGTGCTCGGCCAGTAACAAGCATAAATAATATTACACCTAAACTCCATATATCTATAAAAAAACAAAAAAGGATTTTGATTTATATATAAAATATAATAGTTTTTTTTTTTTTTTAGTTCAAATTTACCAATGGCTGGTGCATCATATGGATCACCAAGTAATATTTCTGGCGCTGAATATGCAAGAGATCCACAACTAGTTAGCAATTTTTTACCAGGTGAAAATTGATTGGAAAAACCTTTAATAAATAATGAAATTTTTGTTTTCTCTTGTAGATGACATAAAATATTCTTACCAAAATCAGTTAATTTAACAACACCTTGTTTTTCAAAAAATACCAAATTTTCAGGCTACAAAGAAAATCATTTTATAATTAATTAAAATTTCTATTTTAGAGTAAAATTCTAGAAGTAACTTTCATAATTGAAATCAGATCTATCAAGATTATAGACAATTGACTAATGAAATAAATTATATAATTTCGTTCGTCATTTTGTTAGATTGATCAATGAGGCGACACATTCAAGGGCTGATGATAAAAATCATTCAACTGATTAATTACTTTTGAGTGGGAACAATGTACATCATGTTGAGCCTAATGAATTATGAATATTCTGAAAACAATTCATGCTATTAGTTTAGTGCTTTTGATATATTGTATTTCTTTTTTTTTTTTAATCAAAGCTGTAATTCTCAGTTAAGGATCATCAGAAAAAAAAATGATTTTCGAATATCAACTTAAAATTTTACGCAGAGATACACCTTAATAATAATAGATTATTGTAAAAGTTTCAGATCTTCTGATTTATTCCTATCCTAGAAATAATAACATTCAATTTTTTGAAAAATCTAAAAGATACACTGTCATCATAGTCTTATCGTAAGATTAAGATGACAAAAAAGATCTACGATAAACTATTTTCATTAAGGTTTGCCTCTATGAAAATTTTCCAGACGAAATTTAAAAATTGCTTTTTTCTCGATGTTTCTAAGGATTAAAAATAAATACCGTAAAAATGTAATATCTCGACAACATTAAGAACTTTTTTTAGGAAATTTATAACTCATTAGAATCTATACAATGTACATTATTTCGGCTAAAAAGCTATTAATCAGTTGAAAGATTTCTTTCATCAATGATAAAAGCCTTTTCGTTGTGTCGCATTGATATGAATTAGTAAAATGAATAACTCTGAATATTTATAATATTAACTATATCACTTTCATTTCCATCATTAGCAATGTAATCTATAATCTTCTTTAACACATCATCTATACAAGAATTATCTGAATAATTATACGTACTTCTAATTAAAATATGTGCATATGAGAATATTTTCAATAGATTTTTTTTTTTTTTCTATTTAAAATGTTTTCGTTTATTTTTAGTATCTATTAAATAAGAAATATTCTACTCCAGATAATTATCGTTTTTTTTTTAATGTTTAGATTCTATTGAAATTCTTTTCTTTCATCATACACTTAAAATATTGCCTTCCCTTTTTTGTCATTAAAAATTGCACATCATTCATATTTATACTTTGTAGAATAAAAATTTCTTTTTGTTTACGATTAAAAAAAAATACTTTTTTTTTTTTGTTTTTCATTCTTACTTTTAGATCACGATGACACACATGCATTTCATGACAATATTTAAGTGCTCGACATATTTGTCGGAAATATCTACGAGCTGTCGATTCATTAAGACCATTAGCATGTTTCATAATATAATCATACATATCACCACCATCACCAAATTCCAAAATAAGATAAAGTTTATTTGGTGTATCAATAACTTCATATAAACGAACAACATTTGGATGTTGAACTAATTTCATACACATAACTTCTTGAAATAAATGAGCTTTTGATATATCATCAAGTTTTGTTTTATCAATAACTTTAACTGCAACTTCTTTTTGTGTAAAAACATGTCGAGCAAGTTTTACAACAGCAAAATGACCTGTACCAATTGTTGCTCCTTGAATAAAAAAAAAAAAAAATCCCAAAACAAAATGTAAATAAGAAATTGATCTCTCGATGAACTTACCTAATGTATAAAGGCCACTGACTAAATTACGTAAATCTGAAAGTCGACGTTCGGTGGACATATTTGTTTGATATATAACTACATTTTCTTGGTATTTATTCACTTTTTTTATACAATTATAATGAATAATAGTAATAAATGAGATTCCATTGATCGAGTCTAGAAGACAATAACAATAGGAAAAAAAACATATGATGATTGATTAGGCAAGAGTTGTATTAGGATAGAAAAGAAAAAAGTACGAGTCTGTCAACATCTAATTAAGATATATGATAAACATTGTCAACTAAAATATGTCAAATATTTGTAGAAAAAATATGAAAAAAAAATGTCCGCATAGTTAAAGACAAATTTCATGTTTTGTTTCATCATACTATTGAAGATTGTCTCTTATTATTAGATGATTAAAGGCAGTCCGAGAGGAATTAATGTTTCTTTTTATCTTTTCTTTTTCTCTGTTTCTATAAGAATTCAAAACTCAAAGAAGTATCTACAAAGACTTATCAATTTGCTACTTTTAGCTCTCAAAACAAAAGAATGTACTCTCAATATTTTTTTTCATCTCGTTTACAGTATAAAAATAACATTATTAAATACTGTTTTACTTGATAATGAAGCGCTATAAACTTAATATGAATTAGAATCAATTATACTTCGACTAAACGGGGTTTTCTTTTATATATATATACTCTATCTCCTCTATCATCATAACCTGTTCGTCTATTATAAATGTGAAGACAGCCATCAATAAATGAATGTTAGATATAAAAAAAAAAAAAAGAAGAAAGAACACTGAAAATTTGACCTTGTTTCTCTCTTTCTTCATTTTACATGTATGTGCACCGCAGCATATATATATATATATATACTTTCAACTGTATCAAGGAGGTCGTTGACTTTATCTAGAAAATATCTAAGCATGACATTGATGATATATCCCTTGAGACAGGAATATCCTAATCTTCTGTATTAGTATTATTTTTATTTGTCAATAAATCAGAAAGAAAAAATAATCATAATCGAAAAGAAGAACTTATGTTCTATTATGGATCCATTCAATTTAATGTCACAGTTCGTTTTATTCTTTTTAGGTATAATAAACAGCTCAGAGGCCATGACAATCATCATCAGATTCAGGTTTTTTTTAAAGGAAACCATGTACATATGACTTCATCATTGCTGCGAAATACGTTGGTGTTAGAAGAAAAAAAAGAGAAAGAAAATATTGATGGTTTTTTTATGAGATGTTAATGAAAGAGGTCGGTTATTTGATTCATTTGATCAATAATGTTTTTACCTATTCATCTAATCTCAGTCAGTTTTTTCTTTGAATATGTTCTATCTGAAGATATTTTACTTCCATCATTTATTATGAATAATCAATCATTATCAATACTATCATCATCATTTTATCTTTGTCATTTACATCAATTAAAAAATTCAAAAGATTTTTTTCTTCAAGGTTATAATATAATTAGCGGTAAACATACAGGTAATGTTCATCATTTACTTCTTTATGAATGTTCGATCAAGGATAATCTTATATACTCGGGATTGTGTGGAATATATAATGCTCGTTTGATGCCTCCATCTGTTTATCGTTATTGTCAAACACGAATTATAATCGCGTGGGCGCAAGGTGGTCAACTTAATTATGATTATCCAATTGATACAGGATTAAAAATGGATTCATACACACAACTTCTACTTGAAGTCCATTTCGAACCATCTATTCCATATAATCATTCTATTGGTATACATCTACGATTTTATCCGGCAGATAAAAAACCTCAATATGAAATAGGAGTTCTAACATTGGGTACATTAGCACATTCACCACTATTTCTTCCTCCACATCTTGATACAATACGTTTTCCAACATATTGTTTTAATGATTGTTTAAAATATTTTCTTAAGAATCAATATGTTATAAATATATTTTCTATACTTGTTCATGCACATCGACGTGCAACTCGTATAATTCTTGAAAAAAATAATTTCAATCGATTAATCGATCAAAATCCATTTAAATTTCATCAACAAGAAAATATTTATTTAAAAAAACCTTATCCACAAATAAATTCTACAAATGAACTTACACTAATATGTTATTACTCAACACGTAATGATTATTTTAAACCTATTTATGGTGGTTATAATTCAAATGATGAAATGTGTCAAGCATTTCTTTATTATTATCCTAAAATAGAATCATTTCCATTATGTCTTTCTTTACCTGTTTATAAAAATAAACATTTATTGAATAATAATCAAACATGGACAAATAAATTAAGTTTATTTATTAAATATGAATTAGAAACAAATTTAAATCATCTTAGTTTATGTGGTGATAATATCTATATTAATAATAGTAATCAAACAATACGTCATAAAAAATTCTATCAACGTTCAATGCAAAATATCGCACCATATTCATACATCTATATACATTTTTTCTCGCTTTTTTACATTATTCTTATTTTTATTCTAATTTCTACTATTTATTGTTATTTTCTTGCAAAAAGAAGCTTACATTCTTTTTCTAATGGTGGCACTTTGTCGAGGTCTACAAACTAATATAAATTAAATCTTATATTGTTACAATGAAGAAAAAAAAAAAAAAAAGACTTACTGCGTAATAACAATTTCAATGATTCTAATTATAATACAAACATGCTCAATTGCCTTTTCAGCAAAAGATAAACATGTATAAAAAGAAATGTTGTTTTTTTTTTCTAAAATAAAAAGAAATTATATAAATAAATAAAAACAAAAGTTTTTTTTTTTTATCAGCTCAGACAGCCAAGACAAACAACATAAAACACATTCAGTATTTTTAAGCGAAACCATGTCTTTTTCTTTTCATCATTGCTGATATATTTGGGATTCATATAAATATAAACAAACAAATGATTTGAAGAAGAATACCCTGCCTCTCGGCTACCTAGCGGTATAGGGTGCTGTCCGAAGACAGTTTCAAGAAGCCCGATATTTTTCCTACATCTATTACTAAATGTAGCTCTGGACAGAAGGCCGGCCTGACTCAGAGTTCCTCTCGCTTAATTTCTTAAGCTCCCCCACACATACTGACTAACCACATACTAGCCACAAGGACCATTTAGTGTATGTCAACAACGTAGTCAATTTGTTATCGGATGGGTGGTCCGAAACAAAACAGCCGTTAGTGACTTGTCCAAGGGCATTCTATGACTGATGGAGTCGAGGTTCGAACACACTATCTTGTGGATATGTGTCAAACATCTTAACCATTCAGCCATAGAGGTCAACAAATGATTTGATATACACATATTATATATCTGATCTGGTCTATTCTTCATACGGAATAAAAAAAAACAATGAGCAAAAAGAAAAAAACAAGAAGACTAAATTCATAACATGTTCAGGATATATCGATAAAAGCCAAAAGGAAGAAATTGTATTTTACATATCATTAGGGAAGAAATTAAAAACAAAAAAAAAATAATAACATATTTAGTTTATCTATTACTCGGTTAATTGCGTTTAGTGCTCTTTTTCTATTCATTATTGCATCTACAGTCTCATTCAATAGGAGGGAAAATAAAATAAACACATTAAAATATCACAAAAGTTAATATAAATATCTTTTTTGTTTTTGAATATATACATGTTGTAAAAAGACCATAAAATCTTTCACGTTTCTTTATTATTCTGATTTACTAGATAATTTTTGAAGTTGTTGAAGACGTTTAAATTCTTTTAATACAGGTAAATTAAGTATTGTTTCATTATCAATATTATTCCAATTAAGTTCTTTTGGACGTGGAAATTTATTTTCAGTATAAATTATACGTTGTGGTGTTATTATAACATTTACTGGTCTAAAACAATTAATTTCAACAAAAACGAAAAATTGATTAAATAACATACAAATCATGTTCAGTCATGATAGATTCTGGAAGATCATTAAGTAATTGACTTTCATGTACAGTGGTAATAACAAGTGTTTTATCATTACATGCACCCAATTGATGCATTATTGCATATTCAATATCACCATAACCTTTACCCTTACCTAGATGAATAATAAAAGTTTTACGTATGTTTTTACGCACAATAAAATCTATCTGAATTAGTCGTTTAAAAAATCATTTTTTATTGATAGATGTGTTTTTGCAATATTTACAATGATCTTTAACCTTTGTATTATAACAACAAAATAAGAATAATATTTAAAAACATAAAATCGAAATATAAAGTCAAAAAAAAATTATTTTTCCTACATTAAAGTTAAGAAATGAAAACTTGTTTTTGGGACAATATATTAGTCGAAAGAATTTGAAATTCTAAGTTTACTGGATCGAAATTTCAACAAAATAAATGTTTTGAACAATGAAGTCGAATGTAACACTACTACGTATTTTGAAATTGACTAGAGTCATCAAATATTTACCACACCCTTCATCTAACATCATTTTTTCGAATGTTTATTTGTTTGAGTTTTTGTTCCATAAGTAAAGTCATGTGAACTCAGAATTTCAAGCTCTATCGACTGATATATACCACATGTAAAATGACAGTTAGAATATGTCAGAACATATTTTATCAATACCCATAGGAAATCGTTGGCAAAACTCTCGTACTTGAAATGAACAAATATAATTACTTTTTATGTATGTCGATGTTAATTTTGACAGAGAAGAAAATACTCAAGACAAAAATCCCTGACGATGTTATATTATCAATATTAAATTTAGGAATTTTTAATTGACGGACTAAATGTACGTAATAGTGTGACTTTTTTTTTCTCTATAATGGCTGATTTATATATTCAATTTGAATTAGAATTGTATCTAATATTTTTATTATTGAAAGAAAATGGCATAAAATATTATCTATATACTATTAAATCTAATATCAATTAGATATATTGTCACTCACAAGGGAACAACTCGTACTGTAATCGACCGTTTGAGCTCATTTTAGACTTATAAGAAGGCTTCAGTAAGACCAAAAAACATCTAAAAGAATTTTGTCCACATGGCTCTTTGGAGTCAAGCAATAGCTATTTCGCTAAATTTT